CTTGTCGATGGTAAGCTGAGTTGAGATGACGAGCGTTGATTCGTATTGTCGATTGTCGTTGATTATAGGTAATTGGTATCATGGCGATCGAGATGGTGGGTGGTGTGTACTGTCCACTGTCGCCTCGAGATCCATTGGATCGTTTAAATATCCTTTTTGAAACGACAGAAAGTCGCCTTCTTCTTGTTCATGAAGAAACAAAATTGAGAATTGGAAATGGCGTCGCATCATTTGACATCGATACCATCTTTAGGATGACTATAGGACAAGGTAGTGTAGGCATAGATGCACTATCGACGATGGTAGTTAATAGCGACAAAATTGCATATGTTGTATTTACCAGTGGATCAACTGGAATACCAAAGGGGGTATGTAGCAAGTATTCTACATCCACTACCATGCCTATATCTCGTTGTTTAGGTTCGAGTTCGACATCGAAATGTAGTAGCATGCATTAAGTCGTTAGTGCAAGTGAACTTGTTTACAAAGGACGATACTGTGTTGCAAATGGCAAGCTGTTCGTACGATGTTCATGTTCAAGAAATACTAGGTGCATTGATCGTTGGTTGTACTAGCGTGATGTTACATCCACATGGAAACATGGACTTGGATTACGTGGTGACGGTAGTCAAGGGAAAACAAGTTTCATACATGCAAAGTGTTCCGGCATATGTTGGTAATCTGTTGAACCTTTTAGAACAGAAAAATCAAAATGCTCTACCAGCTTTACGTACTCTGGACATTGGTGGTAAGTATATTCACATGTTTGTGATCTACACATCTGCTGAATTTTTGCAGGAGATAATAGTACCATTCAGTTTATGCAAAAGTTGCGCAACTGTGTGGCAAATAATGTGTGCATCTGGAACACTTATGGGCCTGCTGAGTGCACAATCGATTGTACGGGTCATGTCGTTAATATAACCCCAGAAATCGATGGTGTTTCGATAGGACGCCCGCTTCCTACTTATCGAGCCATAGTTTTGGATGATATGTTGCAACCGGTTATCAATGGTGCAGAGGGAGAACTATTTATAGGGGGTGCAGGTGTCTTCGCTGGCTACTTGAATCGAGATGACCTAACGTCTAGTGTGCTACTATCTATCGATAATGAAGCATACTATCGAACGGGTGATCTTGTTCGAATCGACAGCAAAGGACTTTTGTATTATGTCGGTCGAAAAGACTTTCAAGTGAAACTACATGGCCAACGCATCGAGTTAGGAGAAATAGAACGATGTTTGCTCGATACAACTATTACTGCTTGTGTTGTGACGAAATGGGGAGAACATCATTTAGTTGCATATGTACAAAGCAGTGAAACGAGTGAGACACAACTGCGTGAACATTGTCAGTCTCATCTTCCGTCACATATGGTGCCATCGATGTTCATCATACTGGATAAACTGCCACTGAATGCAAATGGAAAAGTAGATCGAAAGCAACTCCCATCACCTGAATTTTCGATGTTAAAACAGGCCGACAGCACCGCAATAGCGCCACTTACGCCGCTGGAATTACAGCTGCGTAGTATATTCAGTCGAGCCTTCCACAATGAGCTACCAAATGTTACGATGTCATTTGGAGAAATGGGTGGTACATCATTAGATGTTATTCGCGCCCTGTATTTCCTTCGGCAAGAAATAACGACAAAAATCGATGTTGGTCTTGTGTTTGCTAATCCATCCATTCGACAGCTTGCATGTGCAATTCAACCGTTAATCGATACCAGCGACACTTCGGTGGCTATTTCTACAATTGAACAATCAACCGATAGCCCTGACAGGTCAATATCATGTTTAATTATCGAACTACTAGGTATCGTATTGCTTCTAAGCCAGTGGCTTTTCCCTATGTGGTTGGCTTTTCAGTTTCATTCATTTGTTACTCTTCTGTCCGTACCTGTTTTTCATCTCGTGGCATACATTGTTTGTCTACGTTTGTTAGTTCACAGTAGTGAAGTTATAGATCGAAAGGATAAATTGTATTCGTGGTATTACTATCGTTGGTGGTTTTTGAACAGTTTGTGGTCGATTAACAACTCATACTGGTTAAGGCATTTAACTGATACACCATTCTATAATTGGTATCTCCGATTGTGCGGTGCAAAAGTGGGGCGTAATGCACATATTTACACAGTATCAATCGATGCACCTTGGTTGATCGAAGTAGGAGATTCTACATTTATCGGTGACGAAGTTGTACTGTCAAGTTTGTCATATGAAGAGAAGACTTATACACTTCGGTCGATCAGTATTGGTTCTCACTGTTGCATCAATACGCGTTCTACACTTTATTATGGTGCGACAATCGAAAATAACACTTACATAGAACCAATGTCAGCAGTCTCAGGTGTTGCTCGAACAACGAATAATGATGTATTCCTGAAAAATCAAGGGATATCATTGAAAAAATCCATACATCAATTCGTTTGTTTATTCCTACTTCTTATCATTCACAGTTCAATTATTCTACTGAGCTATTACATCTACTGTGGTTGTCGTATTTTGCCAATACCGCTACCTGTTTGTATTGCTTTCAGCTGGTTAATATGGGCATCGATAAGTTTTTGCACTGCCATAGTTCTATTGAAGTTCATTGTGGGGCGTGCTAAAACAGGATGCTATTCACTGAACTCCTTCCATTATGTCCAAAAAATATGGTTGCGCCAATTGATTATAACATCATTTCAACATTCACTAGATTTGCTGCCAAATTACAGCTCTTTTGCATCAGTCATCTTACGTTGGTTAGGCACTCGAATTGAAGAGGACGTCATGTTTGCCCACTTTCGGCATATTTTATACTTTCCGTCTGATTTACTTGAAGCGAAAAGTACTGTCACAACATTTGGTGGAGCTAAGCTAGCTACTTTCGATGTAACAAAATATGGTTTCTGTCGTCTTGACAAAATACATCTTGGTGCAGGTACAAATCTGACAAACTGGTGCACAGTCATGCCTGGTGCTCGGCTCGCATCAAACACAATGGTCGGTAGTCTAACATTAGTCACTCAAGAAACAAGTAGTATTAACGCTAACACTACATTGCTTGGTATTCCAGCACGTGAAATGCCATTTAAGCTATCTGATGACGCGAACTCAACTCAAAATAGATTATCATCGACAAATACGTTCTCTATTAAAGCAATATTACTTAGTTGCCTTAGAGCCCTTGTCAGTAAATCACTACTCGTCATTTTGTACTCATCACTTCCAGTTTTTGCTTCGCCAGTCGTTCATATTATTCTTTCCTGTGCTATCTACCGTTACTCCATTTGGCTTTCGAAGAAACAGTCACAATCTACGTATTCTATCATTATCACTACTTTACAACAGATTTTTAATACATGTCTGTACGATTTTTACAACTTAATTGCTCCATTTCTATCCGGTACGCAATATCTCGTATATGTTTTTCGTGGTTTGGGCGCTCGCATCGGACGAGATGTCATCTTACCCGATATTAAATGTCTTATTGATCCTTATTTGACTACCATTGGCAACCATGTACGCTTACAGACTGGCGCTTACATTGAAGTAATATATTTCGCATGAATAGTTAAATTTCTTCTAAGATTTTTTTCAAATTTTAGTGTCACACATCCGAACATCGGCGCTCCAAACGGGCACCTGTAACTGTTAATCATTCAAGTGTGCTCATGAGTAATACACTGATACTTCCTGGAACAGTATTAGAAGGACAAAATCAAATATTTCCGTGGACGTTAATTATGAAAAATGATCGACTTTTGTTTAACACCAATTGGTCTGGTGTGCCAGCTCATAGAATTAAGAATTAAAGCTTTTTTCGTCTTTTTAAATACGATCCATAAATAAAAACCGCTATAGATATATGACTATTATTAAACAATGACTATTAGTTCGCAAAGAATCGTGTAAACCCCTGACATCTTCTGGTTATAATATATTTTGTTCGGTTAGAACATATGTTCCTGTGTTTATTTCTTTATCGGTTTTCTTATAGTCTTTGTTATTTCTGCTATGTATAAATCTAAATCTATCATTTCGATAAATAAACGATTCAGACCGACTGGAATTCGAACGTCATGTCTATCCTAACCGCAATTTCATCAAAGTATATAGAGACAGCTTTTCATTGAGTAAAGATTTTCGATTAAACATCAAAATACATGATTGTTTGGGTTTATTGTATGAAACTGTATTTGAGATGTATGAGCTTCTCCATGTTTTCTGTTGCAATTACCTTCTGACACAACCAACAGCTTCTATGCCGCTCGTGGAAACAAGCGAACAACTGAAATTTTAAGTTCAATTATACTGTACACATTTTACTTGGCATAATAACTATTCTTCGAAAGAAGACAATAATCTGAAGCTTACAAAGAATAATATATCAATTTCTCTTAATGTGTTCCAGGAGAGCGCTGATATCCTATCAACGCATCAGACGCTCAGTTCACAGATACCTATTCAATGTGAACATTCCACGTTTGATCATTGCATTCCATCACTAGCCAGATATTGCATAACAAAAACAGATCACAGGAATTGCAGCAGAAAGGTAATAATACATATCTGACGAGGGAACCACTTCAGGTGACACCCTTCGATTGAGCTCATATTTTGCTTGAAGATAGGCCTCATAGTCGTCATACATACCCTAATAAAGTTCATGCCCAAACTTTGGCATTGTTGAAATATTGTATTTCTAAGATATTAGCATAATTGTATTGCCGCAGTCCCCTTCAGGGATGGCAGAAAAACTTGTTTTTGATTTTCGACTTGAAACTTTGTATAGATAGAGGTCTCAGTGAAAGCAGTTTACTGGAGAAGTCTCAACTTTATTGTATGCTCCTAGTTTGAATAACGGTATTATTTGGCTGAAATTTGATTGGATGGTCATGCCTCAGGTTAGAAAGAAAAAATAGGTCCAGTATTTTTACAGTAAACTACTCTTACCAAGACCTATCTTTATACAAAGTTTCAAGTCGAAAATCGAAATCAAGTTTTTCTGTCATCCCTGCAGGGGACTACGACAATGTATTTATACTATTATCTTAAAAATACAATATTTCAGCAATGCCAAAGTTTGGGCGCGAACTCTTTTATGGTATATATGACGAATATGAGGCCTATCTTCAAGGAAAATATGCGCTCAATCGAGGGATGTCACCTGAGGTGATTCCCTCATGAAATACTGTTGAAACTGAAATCCGAACCATGCTTTAGATGAAAACACTACTGTTTATGCAAGACATCGGCTCTTAATTCTCGATAAACCCCAGCTGTCTTAATTATTTCCATCGACATAAACTAAAATCATGTCGTGCCTTTAAATGGCCAACGAATTGAGTACGCTTAATTTATCTTCGCTGATCCACTGAATAAAAAGCATATAAGTCGACGTTTCTTCGAAGATAACTACCACTACGTTACCCTTCAACACCACATTTTTCTACCTATATCATGTTTCTCTTCTCTTCTGCCAACTTTTTGACCAATCTGTCCGTTGTTTGTTTTCTACTATTTCCTTACTTCTTTTCTCTCTGTTTCTGTAAACTGGTTGAATATTAACAAATAAAGCGTTGACTCCAAAAAACTGAATTAATCACTAAGATATTGGTATCGGAGCTTATTACTGTAAAACAACTTATTTTATTACTCATATAAAGTTGAAAAGTCGGTCATGGCCTACGAATAAAAGAAAACGATCATTTGAGTAGAACTAGACGTACTTTTCTTGAAATGTTATATCCATCATGGCGGAGAATCATGAAGGTTTAAATATAATTATTATACCTTTCTGTCTATTCCTGACACAACAATTCAATATGTGCTCACTATTTATTGCCAGAATAATCTTTCCTTTGAAGTAACATTTTGTTTCCGTCCATTCATTTTTTTTGCAATTAGCGAGTATTAGAAAAAAAACTAGTATTATTGAAGAAAGACGAGATAGAGAAAGAACAACTCTACATAACATCAGCAATTTTATAAGTCTTCCATATGAAAATGAGGAAAGATTAAATCAGATAAATAACGGTGCGTGGTACCATTGGTGAATGGAACATAAAACCTATCATAACCGAAAACGGATAAGTAAAATTTAAAAACCAATACTTTTGTATCCCGGTATCGATTTATTTATGTTAAAAGGATTATTTCTAAAGCATCTACTCATCATGGTACACAAATCAATGGTAAAGACAATGTTGCAAATCTTATGCTCTCATTGTTTCGTTTCGCAAATAGGAAAGCAAACAACATCGTAATACAATGAAGCTGTTGTAAGTTTGATGCGCACATATTGAAACTTTCCACTAATATGCATTTGATAGGTTACCTAAATACGCAATTGTTATAGAGCATACTTGACTCTTCTTCACCTGGAGCTAATTGGTAAGTTTTTAGCGTTTCGATATGGTCGAAAAGTACTAAATATAATTTGTACTAATTGATAAATCATTCGTCGCAATTAAAAAGTTATTTCGAAATAAAATAACATCATATTCTTGTTATTCATATCAAATGACATTGCTGATCTACATTTTATACTATCAGGTTGAAAATGTATATGGTAAAAATAAGATTCGTTGCTTCCTGTTAGTCAGCTTTGAAAATCAAATGGTATACATCCAGCAAACTGATATAATTGATTATAAGGGTTTCTTCGTGTAAAAGTATATCGCGTTCATCTAGGCAATTTGCACTATCGATCTCATTTCGTTATATATGTCTGTTATACTAACGAACGGAACGAGATAGATGTTAGCCAATGTAATTGAGTCGCCCACATAGAGTATAGAAAAAGAACTTTAAGCATATTTTCTTTGCAGTTCATTTTTTAATAATATATGTTAGTTCTGTAGAAGTAATTGTTCAAAAAGTGAATTGATTTTACCAAGCTGTGAAATATAGATTATTAAATCACTCGAAATGTACTCAAAATATGAGACTATTTCACTCCAGTTAATAATTAGCTTGTTTTATTACACCAAAAAGTACAAACGACTGCAGTAGTAGTGAACCTACCATAAACGTAGTAAACTGATTATAAATGAAGTGTGTCACATTAATTGACCAATAATTGTTCAATTTTTGTATATAAGAAACCAAATAGGGCTTGTATTATGATACATACCACGAGAACTAATGTCAATGTTCTAGTTTTTCTTAAAAATATCTCCAACAGAGAAGTATTCGGAATATCCCAGGTCGCAAACAGGCATTGTTTTCTCGAATGTCAGAATTTGTTATATTGCTAGTTTTCGTACCGAAGGTACGAAATGGTCTTTGAATGTCTCTACAACTGCCGGAGGAGTCAACGGAGTACCTGGTAGAAAATAGTTTTAATCCTACTTTGCGATAAACTCGATCGTTTCATTGAGCTCATCAAATCTATAACAAGAATTTCTTTCAATCAGTAGACATATATCCTTAGTTAGTGTGACGGTTAAAACTCAATATAAAACAACTGCTTTATAAAATACTTTGAAGACATTCATTTTCTTATATTTGGTTTCAAACTACTTGAGTAGCTTCTATAGGATAGGTCAGTTTTCGATTAGGTGTCATAGTAGAAGTGGTGATTTCCCTCATTTATGACTATTTTTATGCTTTCAAATCATCCTTGATTTCTTTTGAAGGTAATACAATACTGACATCATACTTCGTCTATAGATTTCTGACGCGAAAAAAGTCATGATTTCGTTGTTTTTTTCTCATTTCCTTCCTCTTATTATTACCCGTATCACCTTGAATCATATTAATTAGCTGACAGATTTTTGTTACAAGTTGCTTTCGTCTCTAAAAGTTTTTGTTCATACTGTATTCTATGAGATTTTATATTTCCGCTAATTTCTCATTCTATGATTCTCTCTCTTTCTATATCCCTTGACTTGAATCCACTTAATACGACGCATGTTTTCTCACGTAAGCAGCTATCTAAAATCCTGTATTCAGCATTAAAAACTGACGAAATAAAACCGTTCAAAACGAAATGTTCGAATTCAGCATACCGAATAAGATTGTTTTTGTACTGAACAATGACTATCCAACATTTTTTAAATGTCCATATTGACAATCTGTTCATCTAGAACTCGATAAACGCTAATAAGAATATGGTATGAGCTAAAGTCGAACTCAAATTTCAGAAAAAATGGCCTCTGCGTCGATCTTACACTTTTTCTATAATTTTTCTCTCTTCCGGTAGTAATTATTCTATATAAACTCGGATTCGCTATGGAGCACTTGACACAACTTTGCGCAACAGCTTCGTCAATATCTCTTCTCGTAAGTAACAATACTACCGATGATTGGAACTATTGCGAACTCTATGAAACTTTGTTGGTACTTACAGAATTTAGATAGAACGTGTTTAGAAATTTCTTGGGACGAGATCTACTCAATTATAAGTGAATTAAAAAATTTTAATATAAAGGTAATATTTAGAGTGCACTTACTCAAGATATGTATAAATAAGGTAGAAGATGATTTTTCACCTAAATCTAGACTAATATTTTGTGACTAAAAGTATGAGCACTTTCTTTTCTGAGAACCTACTAATTTTCTAAGTATGGGCCGTAGTTTTGTGTTGACTAACACCAACGCTGACTGCTTTTGGATATTACAGTGGTATTAAACTTCATAGGTTAGACCAACAACTCAAATATCTGTCTAGTTTTCGAAACGATTTCTGCTTACACAGTATTCACACTTACATTTTCCAATCGGTGTGAAGCTAGCACCATCGAGCTAGCACCATCAAACTAAGGATTTTCTGAAAACGAATTCCGGTCGATAAAACCGAGTGTATTCGATGCAGAATTTAATTCTGAGTCCAATGGTGACATTTTTATTCACCGGAAAACGTTCGGAGAAAAATTTTCTTTGATCTTTCTTTATCCTCGATACATGTATATGCATGATTTTTCGGCCGTCGGCACGCAATATCTCTGTCCAGAGCGAATTCCGGTTCATGTAAAAGAGTCTATTCGACGCAGAATTTGATTCTGCATCGACTGGTGCCACTTTTATTCACCGGAAAACGTTCGGAAAAAAGTTTTTCGAATTAAAAAAAATATTTGTATATATGTATGCGAAAAAATAAGAGTTAAGGTAAGCTCCATACCGAACGTTTTCCGGTGAATAAAAGTGGCACCAGTCGATGCAGAATCAAATTCTGCGTCGAATAGACTCTTTTACATGAACCGAAATTCGTTCTGGACAGAGACATTGCGTGCCGACGACCGAAAAATCATGCATATACATGTATCGAGGATAAAGAAAGATCAAAGAAAATTTTTCTCCGAACGTTTTCCGGTGAATAAAAATGTCACCATTGGACTCAGAATTAAATTCTGCATCGAATACACTCGGTTTTATCGACCGGAATTCGTTTTCAGAAAATCCTTAGTTTGATGGTGCTAGCTCGATGGTGCTAGCTTCACACCGATCATTTTTCCAGAAGGTTAGGTGGTATTCGACTCTAGTCGGACAGTATTTGATTAGTAACATTATAGTACTGAGTGCCATGAATATAGACGCAAATCAAGATTTATGTGTATATCTACCGCCGCCAACGTTTATTTTGAATCTTCTGATAACAGTCCTATACCATTATAGTTGGTTTTCTGTTGGTTGACAGTTCGATATGTTAAAATCGTATTATTCAGATATATAATACAAACATCGAGATAAATAGTTTTCCATTATAACGTATTGTCATTCATACTCTAAGGTCTTCATCACCTTCTTCCACGATATAGCTAATACCAATGTTTCTGAGTTTTAAAAGTATCAGAAAATCTTTAATAAACAGCTTGATCTTTACAAACACGTTGTTTTATAAAACGTCAGCGGCCGAGGCTTAGCCAGCTAATTTCACCGAATATTCAGATCTCCTCCGGTACTATGTTATACTGTTCGGCCACATCACTTTTCGAAAGCTCATATAGCGCAACACCATCAAGTTACTAATCAATAAATGATTAACTTGGTGGAATAATAAACTGAGACGACTATTTCAACCCATCTTTTCGTGCCGCTTTTTATTACGTTGCTTACTTCTTTTCCGTTAAACTCAAATAGTTCAAATCAATTGCGCATGTATATAGATAGAATATACACAAAAATAATGAGTATTAAAAAGAATCACAACAAGTCAAACCATTGTTATAGCGTATCATCTTCTGCTTTTGATGCATGTGTTCTTTTTTTACGTTAGTACTTAATTATTCAGCAAAATCAATATGACAATTGCATTATATACCCGTGCGTGGATCCTGATCGCGCCTCTTATTCCATCAATTCTGGTTAGCATCTTTCTAATCTACAGTTATATTACAACACGAGCACTTCGTAAGGCGCTTAATAACCATGTTATTATGTTGCTCCTCTTTTGTGGACTAATCGAATCGGTCACCGACATCAGCTTTCAAGCTCATTATTACCGAACAAGAACGGCATTAGCACTAACACCTGGCTTCTGTTATACTTGGATATTTACTGGCGTAGCAGCGTATGACTCGACATTTATTCTGATGGCGTGGGCATCAATTGAGCGACACATTCTAGTTTTCTATCCACGTTTATTTGGAACAAATCGAAAACGTATTTTGTTCCATTATCTACCACTGGCTGTCTGTGTCCTGTGGCCAATAATATTTGCTACGACAACAATATTCATATTACCGTGCGATGTTGTAATCGGCTATAATCGACGATATTGCGGCTTATATTACTGTGTTACTCTTCGAAAGTGGTCAACGTGGGTAGATAGTATGGCAAATTACATTTTGCCAGCATTTGTTGCCGTATTCTTTAGCATGTGGTTATTTATACGTGTATTGTGGCATCGGTATCGTAGTCGTGGACGAATTGATTGGCGAAACTACAAGAAAATGGCAGGTCAATTATTGCCAATTTCAATTCTGTATACCTGCATGCAGTTACCACCGATGATTCTATATGCTGCTTATTCGGGCGGTTTACCGTACACTGTTGGAAACGATTACTACAGCGATAGTTTATTTTTTACGTATTGGGTTGTATTATTCACTCCATTTGCATCTGTTATTTCGTTACCGGATTTAAAAGGAAGAGTTCGTAAAATTATCTTTTTTTGGCGCCCTCGGAATGCTGTTCAACAGGCAATGACAATCAGCCGTCGGGCTGGTGATCAAACCGCAGTGCCAGGGCGTACTGTACCAAATAGGGCAGGAGTGAAACCAGCACCCACACCAGGAGCAACAGCACCACCAGCACCACCAGCACCCACACCAGGAGCAACAGCACCACCAGCACCACCAGCACCCACACCAGGAGCAACAGCACCACCAGCACCCACACCAGGAGCAACAGCACCAGCAGCACCGGCATCAGCAGCACCCACACCAGGAGCAACAGCACCACCAGCACCAACACCAGCACCCACACCAGGAGCAACAGCACCACCCTCACCCACCCCAGCACTCACACCAGGAGCAACAGCACCACCAGCACCAACACCAGCACCCACACCAACACCAGGAGCAACAGCACCAGCGGCGGCATCAGCAGCACCGGCACCAGCACCAGCACTAGCATCGAAGCAAGTGACAAGTATGTTTTCAGCAATAACAGTAAGTAAGATGCCGTCGGTCGAAATATAAGCAATATTCAATCATTACAATTAATGAAGACAACTATGGAAGATTTTGAAGGCAAATGATCACTGACAGACATTTTGATGTTGTATACATATATCTCGTCTTACTTCTTAATGTTGTACACATATATCTCGTCTTACTTCTTAATGTTGTACACATATATCTCGTCTTACTTCTTAATGTTGTACACATATATCTCATATGACTTCTTGGTGTTGTATACATATATTTCAGCGTATTTTCCGTCGTTCGTATTCTTTTATGGCTTATTCACTTTACTGTACGTGTTGTATACATATATCCATATAATAAACTAAATATACTACGATTGTCAAGGTACTTATAAAATGAAGATGCACACTTCGATGTGGCTTCCTACAATAAGCTTCCAGTTATTATAAATAAGAATGAGAAAAGTAAAATACAGTGTGTGTTTAAGAAGAGGAGACTCACCGATCACGTTTAAGTCAGAAATGATTAACATCTGCTACCACCGTAATATTACTTTTCTTCCGACGATCGTTCTTGTTCTTATTAATATTCTCCAGCTTCGAATAACTTGAGTATATCTTTTGATCTTTCGTTAGCAAAAGACTGTTCAGTGCGTACATACAAGCAGTATGAATTTTCTACTTATTATGATTCAAGGAAACTCAAAGAAGAAGTTACCTGTTTTATATCACTATATTATAACGATAGAACTTCGTTGACTAAACTTATTTCTACTTATATGCGCTCTTATATCAGATATATAGATTTAAAACAACATACACAGAAAAAAAATCAGCAGAATAATCAACCCTCAAAAAAGGTTTTATAACTGAAAAAATCGTTTATCAGCTTGATCTACCCCTTGATGAACCCTTTTTTCTTGAAAAACCCTTGAAGGGTTTATTATCCGTTGCAAACTGATAAACGCAAGGGTTGATTATCTCTTGATAAACCCTTTTTTCGNTTCAATGCTCGTAGTTACATCAGAGATGCTTGTGAAGCATTGACTTTCAGATATTTTATACCAATATTAATATGAGAAATTGGAATATATCTCGATCTTCCAGTTTACATTAGCTGTGCTTATAAGTGCTCTAAGATGTTTACAAAGTTTACTATGTTGCAAATCGTGAAAAATTATCAATGATAGAAAAATACTGGAATTCGAATACAGTCGAGAGCAAAACGATAGATCCGTTGGTGTAAACTGAGACATTTTCATAGAGATAATATTTCTTCTAATACTTGAATAGATGTTTTCACTCTAAATTAAACATTTGATATCGTCGAAGTGGATTAATCGAGTACTGATTTCGAAATTCTTCTCGTTTTTTATTTCATTGTGAGAACTTTTGAAGGTATTCTTTTATATTAGACGTATAAAAGCGCCAATTTAAACATTTTTTTCATTTTTCTCTCTACAAGAGAAAGAACTATCAATAGATGTATGTTTATCTAGTTTCTTTCTTCAGACGAAACCGCATACCATCTTTGAAGGGAATCTGTTGATACACTGTTCTATATTTATGACTTCATTGTATTGTTAAATTGATCGGCCCACACGCTAGATGAGAGCTTAGCACTGTTCTCAACTCATTTTCCCTCGACTGTAAGGAGGGTCATATGAAATAAAATTGTTTGTTTGTTTGTTTGTGGCAAAACGTGGGCGAGGGTGGGTGAGGGTGTGAGTGTGGGTGGGGCAATGGCAAGTGAGGGTTTTGGCTGAGTGTTGAGGTTGTTGGTAGTGGTGGGTAGCTTGGTTGTGAGGCAAAAACTGAGATGGTAATATTAGGGCGAAGTATTTTGGGACATTCTCGGGCGATAGGTGAGTTGCTTGTGTTTTGATGAAAACGGCAGTGTCGGATCTACTGTTAGGATGGGTTTCGGGTTGACTGCTTTTAATAACAATTGTCGTTAAGCGTAGACCGATAGTTCCTAGCGAAGGCGGCCGAAGGCCGTCTGAGCGCTCGACTAAGGAGACCGGTAGCGAAGAGGGCCGAAGACCTTCTGAGCGCTCGTACCGAAAAATCCATCTGTTTTCGCTTACTATGTGAATTCTGTAAATGTTCACGGTATGTGGGGGACCGAAAGATCAAACTATAGAATAGTGGTAAAAGTGAATACTTGAATATTTGAAATAGTTGAATAGTTGAATAGTTGAAATAGTTGAATACTTGAACAGATAGTTGAATACTTGAATTCAACTGTCAAGTTTGACACTACTGACTATTTAAAGCATCACTTTCTCGTATTGAAGGTAATGCATCTGTATCTAATTTGTTATAGTAGAATTGTTTGTTAAAAAAATGACACGCCGACATATTGTTAGGAAAATTTTCGTCGTGTTGCTGTGTTCGTATGCTGTGAATACAGTAATTATGCGATTTCATACTGATGAAGTGCTCGCAATTCGTGAATGAGGTGTGAAATGGACAGAACTCATCGAGTTTGACTTGGAATCATGTTTGGAATGATATCAGATATCACTCAGGCGAATCAGCCCAGGTATTTCTGGAAATTATGCAATTTTGGGGTGTTTTTTGCAGTTTTTTGGGATTTTTGGGGGTAAGGAAGTGACTTTTTCCGAATATTTTTTACCAATCGACAGAGCTCGTCGAGTTGTACCTGGAACGATTGAAATGATTGTTGGAATGCATACGAGAACGAATAACTCCTGGAAAAACTCGAATCGGGCGGAAAGATATCCTACACAGAAAAAAAGATCAGCAGAATAATCAGCCCTCAAAAAAGGTTTATAACTGAAAAATTCGTTTATCAGCGTGATCTACCCCTTGATGAACCCTTTTTCTTGAAAAGCCCTTGAAGCGTTTATTATCCGTTGCAAACTGATAAACGCAAGGGTTGATTATCTCTTGATAAACCCTTTTTTCGTTTATCAATTGAATCAACCCTAAAACGATGGGTTTCTCAAAGGTGATGATCAACTCTGGGTCTCAGGGTTGATTCAATTGATCAACGAAAAAAGGGTTTATCAAGAGATAATCAACCCTTGCGTTTATCAGTTTGCAACGGATAATAAACCCTTCAAGGGTTTTTCAAGAAAAAAGGGTTCATCAAGGGGTAGATCAAGCTGATAAACGATTTTTTCAGTTATAAAACCTTTTTTGAGGGTTGATTATTCTGCTGATTTTTTTTCTGTGTATGCTTATTGTAAAATAGTATATGCCTTTCTGTTCTGCATGGAACTGGTGATTAAAAAGAAAGTAATGGCTAGAAGATATAGCAGCGTATTCAACGCTGTGTTTTGAAGCGACTAATGATTCTGTCGCCCAATGGTCTAAATTATAAAATAATCATCTATCTTCTATATATATAAAGAAGAAAGTTTGTCTGTTTGTTTGTTTGTTCGCTATGCATTCAGTCCCTGTAGTAGCTATCGGTGTGAAACTTTCCACAATGCTTCCTGAGACCCAGGGGAAGGTCGACATCTACTTTGTTCCGAGAAAAAATGAACCAGACGTTTGCTACAGGCAATATATGAAACGGACCAATAGGAATGCGAGATTTCCAAACTTGAGAAAATTAATAGCGAAGGCCGTCTGAGCGCTCAAAGACAACAATCCACGTGTTCTACGTGTGCATGGGAGTCCTATACATGCTACAAGCAACCTGCGAAGCTGACCAATGGGATTGCGAGATGTGAAAAATTGCAGCGGGTCGGTAGCGAAGGCGGCCGAAGGCCGTCTGAGCGCTCATAGACAACAAGCCACGTGGTCTCTACGCCTATGATAGTTCGGTGAATGCTACAGATAATCTGCTAAACTCATCGGTAGCGTTACAGGATCTCAAAAGATTAAGCCGAATGCTGAGGGTGGGTGAATTCGAAGGATATAAGGTATGAAATGACATGAGAGTGAGAAAGAGGTCGATAAATGAATAGCTGGAGTGGAAAATGAATATTAGAGAAAGAGGAAATTTTCATAATTTCTGAGGCAGAAATTAACTTCGGCAAGTCTTTTGCATAAAAAGATATAGCTGAAACTGCCATTTTATGCGATGCACGGCGGGAAAATAAGGAGTGGAAGCGTATAAATTTGAATTATACTGATTTTCTACCTGTTATAGCTCTTCAAAACGTGAGATGTTCGACATGGATATTTCTTATTTGCAGCGGGTACCCCCTCTAGTTCTATATAAAACATCGATAGTAGTCTTTGCCAAGTAAAGAACTAAAATCAAATACAGATCATGTCGTCTATCGTTGAAGAAAATCTACTAAAGAATACCAGTAAAGCTTAATCTAATGTTGTAATTTGTAAACATTTATTATCTTACAAAAAAAGTGAACACGATTTTTATGATGAATACTAGAATTCGTCGAGCAGTGAGATTTGTTCACTGACAAAAGTAGCACTCAAAACATTTCATTATTCTAATACAAATACAAGATAGAGCATCGAATATTCATACGACTTCTAATGGTGACCGGATTTTCTCTGTGACAATGCTAACTGTGCATAGATCCCTTTTTGATGTAATAATTCTTCATGAGTACCCTAAAATAAAAGAATTAAATCACGCAAAAAGATACCATATTGTTCATTACTTCTTCTCTGAGTTTGCCTCGATTTACAACAGCAATTTTTTCTGAATTGCGAATTGTTGATAGACGATGGGCGATAGTTATGCAAGTGCGACCAGATCGCGCTTGATCCAAGGTTGCTTGCACGACTTTTTCACTTTTATTATCTAACGCTGATGTCGCTTCATCGAGCAGAAGCAGTTTTGGATTACGAATTAATGCTCGGGCAATGGCAACTAAAATCCAAAACTTCATTCACCAAATTTCTGTCTTACGAGAAAAAAAAGGATTCACTTCGTTGTTTTTGACCACCAGACAATTGACTACCTTTTGCTCCACATAATGTTTCATAACCCTAAAAGATTCGTAGTTTAATTTATCGAGAAAAGAAACTGTGAATACGTGAGGAAACGAAATAATCAGCTCATGGATATTCGCCATTCGAGCAGCAGTTTCAATTTCCTCTTGTTTTATATCTCGACTATTATCACCATAAGCAATATTATCACGAATAGAAAGATTGAAAAGGATTGGTTCCTGTTGAACAAGACCTATCATTGATCGCCACCATCGAATGTTAAAGACTTTTATGTCATGTCCATCGATTAAGATTCGACCTTTATCTGGATCATAGAAGCGCTGTAATAATGCTATTGCTGTTGATTTTCCGCATCCTGAGGGACCAACAAGAGCCGTAGTAGCACCATATAAACATTTCAGTGAGAAATGACGCAGCACACGAAGCGTCGGTCGGTTGGGATATCGGAAATGAACATCACTAAATTCAATATTACCGCCAATATCTTTCTAAATGAGGTGAAAAAGTAGATAGATGTAGTAGGGTTTCATAAAGTGATAATGATGCGAGAATCCTACTAAAATAATGCCCGATTCGTTGGTAGGATCGATTTGTGATTGACGTTGATGGAGCTTAATAATTCTCAGACCTGCTGCTTTTGCTTTGGCGTAATCAGGAAGCATTCGCAACGAGCGATTGACCGCGAAAATACACAAAGTTATCACACAGAATGCTCTATATTATAAAAAGTTATTTATCAAAATACACAAACCTCGATTATAGACTGTTGCTTCTACCTGTATACTGCGCCAAATTGAAGTTCACCAGCCTCAATTAATTTACTGCCATATCCAAAGCATGCACATTGCATGAAATACGACAACGAGCCCGTTATGGCATTGCCTAAAGACAAGAGATGTGCACGACGAAACTTTTGCCTAAATATGTGAATAGTGATTGAAAACAATTGAAAGCAGATGTATATAAATTTCTACTTCAGATCTTGATTGAACGCATCTTCATATAGATTGATGAAATGGTTCTCTTGATGCAGAGATACAACAGTACGAATATGTTCAATTGCTTGTGTTGCATACTAATATAAATATTAGTTTTGCATGTATGCAATCGATACTCAAGCACCAAAACCGTACCTGACTGCCTTTTTCGACGAATGTAACTTGATTTTTTCCCTTGGTATCTTTTATCTGACTTCGTAACTTGCCGGATAAGAATACAATCGGAGAGAAACTCAAGCAAACCAACGTTATTTTCCAACTGATTGTAAATCCAAGCGTCAAACCTACTATGCCAGCACTGATAGATTGTAAAATAGTTCCAATACGAATACCAGTTAAACCCTAGAGTGTAACGTTTCGCATTTGAATACGTGTATTCTACTTAATCATGAGTACCTTAAGTGCTGAAGCATCTGAAGAAAGGCGTGTGACGAGAGCACCGACAGAATTTTCTTCTTGATCAAAAAAACTCATCTCCTGCCGTATCATTGCACCAAATGTAATGGTTCTCATGCGCATTGTTAACGCTTCGCCCGACTTGGCAAAACTAAAACTGGATAGAAATTGAGTAATACACGCACCTAATCCAATACAGAAACAAATTATCGCATAAACACGTATCAGGCGATCTTGTTCATCTGGATCTGGCTCATTGACAGTGTCATAGAGGCTCGCAAAAACATATCCATAGAACGGTTGTACAGTGCCACTACCGAGCGAAACTAGTGTACCTAGCGAAATCCAATACCATTCGGGTCTATTGAACTTTGCAATTTGCAATAAAAATGGAACGCGAAAGAATTTCTTGATCTTCGACATTTCAATAGTTCGCTCTTGGATAGCTTCATTATAACCCTCCGAAGTTCCAGTTGAATTCATAGATTGCTTCGATGCTCTACGACTCGCTACAATAAACATCTTGTGTCATGAAGTACAGAATCAGGTACAATAAAATACTCACCAAGTGAATTCTGTACTGATGCATTGTCGTCTTTTGTTTCATTATCTTCACTTTCACTGTCTGAGCCATCTTTTTGTTTTTCTTGCTGCTGTTCCTTTTTAGATTGAGTCGTAACCAACCCATAGTAGAGGCCTCTTTGCTTCATTAACTCATGATGAGTTCCGCTCTCTCTCACTTGACCATTTTCTAATGCTACAATTAAGTCTGCATTTCTTATGGTACTCAAACGATGAGCAATGACGATAGTTGTACGACCATCTTTAGCCTTATCTAATGCATCCTGCACAATTCTTTCACTCGTATTATCTATAAAAAACAATTCTAGTTTTAGAATACAAGACGAAAGAAACGAACCAAGCGCACTGGTAGCTTCATCTAGTAGAAGAATTTTGGGATTCGATATTAACGCTCGAGCAATAGCGACTAAAACGATCATATTATTTTCAACAATAAACAATCAATCAATTGATTTACCTCGTTGTTTTTGGCCACCGCTCAATTTATCACCAGATGGCGTTTTGTATTTCTATAATAATTATGAAAAAAGTAATCACCAGTGAGACAGGATCTCGTAATCTATACTTCTGGAAGTGCCATAATAAAATCATGAGCATTAGCCATTTTCGCTGCAGCCTCTACTTCTTCATCTGTAGCATCAACCTTACCGTAGCGTATGTTATCTTCGATTGAACCAGTAAACAGTACTGGCTCTTGACTAACAACTCCAATTTGTGAACGTAACCAAGTCACATTTAATCTTATTATATTTCTTCCATCGAGTAGAATTCGGCCACTTTCTGGATCGTAAAATCGTTGTATCAGCTGAATTGCAGTACTTTCTATAGTGAGGAAACATGATGAAAACTTCACAAATATATAGAATAGCCTACTTCCACAGCCTGATGATCCAACTAGAGCCACCGTTTTACCAGATGGAATTAATAATGATAGTTTTCTGAGAATCTTGACAGAGAATGATGCAGAATTTGAAGAACACTATCACAGAGAGAAACAGTGTTTACCGGAGCCTCGAGTCTAGTCGGATATGCGAAAGTAACGTTTTCAAATTCAATATCACCATTGATCGTGTCCGGTTTTTCTCCACTGTCTGCGAATGCGTCAATAAATGAACACTAGCAAGACAAATAGCAAAATGTTTTTCTTGTTCAGAATACACTTGAGGAGGGCCTACTCTTTCGATTAAATCGAATACATAAACACTGCTACCAGCAGCTTCTGCAAAACTTTGAATGTTGGGCAACAGTTGAGATATACCTGATGTAGCGCTCTACAAAAAACGACCAAACGATTCCATAGAACAGGATTATTTTCGACTAAGATTACCGTACCATACAAGCAAAAAGAACCTAAGAAAGTCAAGAATATTTGGCAGGATGTAGTATATACAATATAGATTATTCACTTACAACAAATGCAGACCCAGATGAATAGTGTTCACAATCAGTTCGAGTAAGCTGAAGGCCATACCTAAGATAAGAGCGCAATGCATGTTTGAAAGATAAAACTTTTGAAGTTTACTACCAAAGTGTGAGTGCTGTTGCAGAATAATTGAACAGAGTGCTTAAACCTTGACAAAGTCCCATGTAAAATCCTTTTCTTATTCCAGTCGTTTTTGCTGCGATGAGACTATCTGCAAATCTGAAATAATTTTCAGTTGAAGTAAACAGAATGCATCATCAGATATACCGCTTTTCTTCCTTTTCTTGACCGTGAAATGCTGTTACTGTTCGAATATTTTGTAATACTTCCTGTGCAATTGCTGATGACACGGCAAATGCTTTGACTTCTTTCACAGTAAAAGTAACGATGGTCTAATAGTAAGAGAAAGTCTCTTCTTCTTTTAACGTTTATCTTTCAAATATCGCTTTACTTTGATAGTAAAATTAAAAGTGATCATTGTCAATGGAGACATCGCCATGTACACTAAGGACAATTTCCATCCTTCAGCGAATGCTAAAATCAGTGAACTGAGCATTTGTGACAAAAGTGTGATGAAGTCAGGAACTTTTTCTCTAGAATGCATCAGTTCGTATGAAAATATGGAAGCTCATGTGCTAAATTTTAGCTACCCTATGCCATCTTTGATTCTGTCTAGAAAAAAGAAAACACGGAGATACAATTCTAAACATTAGATGGACAAATTCGGTTACCTAAATCATCCACTAATCGATTACTTAGTTCTCCAGCGTTTCGTTCATCGAACCAGCCAATTTCTTGACGGAGAATATTTCGAAAGAGTGAAAAACGTACCCGGCGTACTTGTCGTTCAGCAGCAGTAAGCCACGTGACGGATGAAAGGTAACTGAATAAGATACTTCCAAAACCGAGAAGAACATAATAGTTAATAATAGATTTCATAGCTTCGGTTGGAGACACGGGGTGTGTAACGTTAACAAAATCGGTTTTACTACGAAAAAAACCGAAGACTTACGAACGAGGTTTCAAAATAATTGTTTACCATTCGCTTGAACGATTGAACAGAGTTGTATTGCTTGCCACGGTGTTATTGGACAGATTGTTCAGAACTTGTTTGTAGATGACTAGCATTATTGAATAGGTAGCTAAAGAAAAAGTGGTGCATCATATCCACATCAAATCAACCATCGTACCTCCGTTTGCCAATGCTAAAAAGAGGTAGTGAGAAACTTAAATACGAAACAAGAGTTTTATTTACCAGCTAGTATACCAATAAGCATTAAAAGTACATCGAGCCCATCGGCGAACTTGAATACTTCGAAAAATTTCAATTTATGTTCTTTGGGATTCTTTGATTTTTTCAATTTTTCAGAAAAACTATTTAAATAAAGAAAGTGATTTATCGTTCTAGTTTTTCTTTTCTCCGATAGAACTTAACGGCATCTTTTTCATAAAAACCGATCGTTTCCGATGGATGTCTATCGTTGCATTCGAATCAACATCGCCGGGAACGGAACATATGCTTGCGCGAATCTGACGTTGAATATATTTACCGCTGAGAATGTCTCGAACTTCTCTTTCTAGTACATCTTCGTCGATGACAACGTTCGATCGAGCACGAGCAACTGGGTTGTTTGGACCGTGAAACCTAATTTTAGGAAATAAATTTATAATGAAAAATACCCATTTTCGACCGGAAAATTTCCCATACTTTTTCATTTCTGGAACAGCATCGTCGGCTGACGATCGATGTGATGACGTTATAGTAGAGGACACTGCTCGTTGCGGCAGATCGAGTACATCATTTGATGATTTATCAGTTGAATCATGATCATGTGCATCAGTATCATCCTCCTTTACAGGAGGGTGTGGACGTGTTGGCGATGAAGGTGGCGAAATGTTTACTGTCGGAACTATTTGAGTACGTGTCTGACCATTCGACTCATCCAGTTCATTGTCGGTCGGACTATCCGATTCGTGTTCTGGCGTGATATCTCCCATATTAATCCAAACACTTTTATCAACAGACTTTATAAAGAGCTGATTAAGAAATGAGATTCGATTGAAATAAAAAAAAACGTCGTATTATTTCTGATGACGTTACTGATTGTACATGATAAAATATGTGCATGACTGAATGTTCGCAACGGTAAAATTACACTTAATTATATGTGTATTATATAGCAAACGTATACACCCGGCAGTTCATTTTGATTTCGTTTGTACGAATAGCTTAGAAAATATGCAATAAAACATTCTTTTTTCCATCATTACTTTGACTCTTTTAATCGTCAATTTGATAGTGACACTCGTCATGTATTCATGTAAAAACGTGAAGAAATCATTTTTTCTCATTATTCATCGATTTGATTAGTCTTATCGATTGTCTTAGATTTTAATTTAGATATTAATTTTTTAATCAGTAAATGTCTTTATCCTTCTGCTTATATAAACTGACTGAGTTTGATGAGGAAAACATATACGAGTGAGGTAGCCAATTTATGGGCAGATGCACGATTATCAGATGTTATAATCGTCCTCTTCGGATTACTCAGTGACCGTGTGGTACAGCAGCAAGGACATATTCGATGCAGTGCACTAGAAATACGACTTCGCTTACTTTTAAGCTAAAGGTGATGCTGTAGTGGAACCTGAAGCATAACTTTGTTTTACACATTACCTAGTGTTATCATTGGCATAGGCACGGAGTATCCATTAGTGTTGTGTCTTCTTTTTGTAAATAAAAAAAATAAAGGCCTCATTTGCAGCTAGGCTTTTCATATCAGTTAGTCATTACGGGTATAGGGAAAATTTATCTCAACAATGGGAAGTGATAAAGGAACGGTTCAAACAAAATTCTACTAAAATGACTACAAGAAAATACGGAATCAAAATCCAATCTAAGCCTTTTTTCCTCGATCAGGATCGTGTGTGTCGATTGAACCACCTGCTTTACCATAAGGTGGATTATTACTGACTATTTGATCCGGTTTACCCCAATCTTTTCGTGTTGTACCTTAACATACAGAAAAAAAACGTGACTTTCAAAGGATACTTCAATTCCGTAGTCTACCGGGTTGTTTGGTATCGTCAACAATATTAGGTTTTTGTTTCTTCTCACTAGTTTTTGTTTTATTTAAATTACTCGTTTTGGTTGGATTTGGCTGCTTTTCATCTAAAAAAACCTATGCAAATTCGATCTCATATCAATCCAAACATTTACCCTTCTTTTGTCTACTCGATGAACGTGAATCACTTGCGTCATAACGAACATTTTGTGCGAACAATGAAGAACGTAAAAATGTTAGACGTCGTTGCTAGAATGGAAGTTTCACGATAGTTGATTATCTCACGAATAAAACCTAACCCACGGCTTCAGCAGTCAGTGATTGTCGCAGAGCTTGCATCATCTGAAATGACGTGTTTTCTCTAAAACCATACAGCAGCAAGTTACTCAGTCAAACAAAATTCAATCTTTGTTTATATCAAGTATCTTTATTTTACATTATTTGTCGTAAACTACGATAAACTGATGCAACACAATTAACATCGATCCAAATATAAAGAAAAATATCACTAGGTAATCCCTTATTAAAATGAAGATTGAGCCAAATGGACACAACTATGGTACATAATTTCAGCAAGAAAAAAACTAAACGATAAGCAAGGCCATGAGATGTTCCTATACCATGAACGTATATTGAATAACTTCCGAATGAAAGAATAGCCAGGTTACAAATAAAATTAAAATATTCAAGTATTTGACGTTGTTCATTGTAGGATAAACATACTTTTCCGGAAATACCTTTTCTATGCGATAAAAGACTCTCGGTTGGGTTGGATGAAGGTAAATTATTAATAAGAACAGTTTGATTCTTTAAATCGACTAGTTCATGTTTAATTTTTAACATTTCTTTATTTAAATACATAATATCGGACATATAGAGTAGAAAAACTGTACTATAAACACCGGCGATTAAACCCAAAACAAGTGATGCTATATTCGTTTCATTCATAGAAAGAATTCAATATGTTTATTGATTAGAACAAAATCTTCGCATATATAACTTCAACTGCTTTATGTTTTGTTTGTTCGATTCTGGCACATGACTGGTAAACACAATGGACCAATGGAATAACGGGGGAGAGTCTTAGTAACACGGATGCAGCAGCGGCAATCTGATCACACACACGCATTCAAACAACCTATAGTCACATATGTGTAGGAGGCAGAAAATTATGTTGAGATTAAGAGTAGCCAAGATTGCGATGATCGACATTCATCAGCATTGCTCAGTTCTTCTCTTATTTCGTATGTTAATTTAGGTGCACCCGCATAATGTCTCGGTGCGAGAATATGAATTATTTGAAATGTATCATCGCAAAGGCACATTGAAAAAAGTTATTGCTTTCTGGATTAAGTAGATTACTCGGTTTGTCATCTCGTTGATTAGTAGTAAGAAATTCGATCCCAATTAGATTGTAACATCGTCCCGTCTCTTCGGAGGTTTTCATCATAATCAAAGATGGATTTACAAGTGATTATTTTGTCCTACATATGTTCGACTTCTATGTTTAGAGAAGTCGTATTGACTTCATCGTACCTGAATGACATAATATTTTATTCAAACATATACCTACTTATACAGTCCTTCAAGACTCTGTGATTCTTTTCTTTATTGAACATAGTAACCATCAAGGATGAAAAGAAAAACCTAATTGTGTCATTGAATTTTTCTTTCACACTTTAAACCCTTTTATTCTAATATGAATTGATATTTATAGTATATCAAATGTTCTTTGACAAGGACAAAATTAAAAATGCATCTTGATTTTCTTTCTTTTTTTCTCTCTACGATGAAAAATTACGACGAATGAAGGAAAAAAGATATATCACATTGACGACATTGTCGTCGAATAATGAGATAAGTGTACGAGAAATATTTCGATAAAAGAACAGAAAAGAGAAGATTTAACAAGAGCAACTCATGCACGAATCGAAATGTCTCGACAAAATTCGGACAAATCAAACAAAATACCGTCGACAAACGATAAATTTTTCTACATACTGAACGTACAAGCTATACACACCAACAGAGAAAATCAGCTATACAAGGCATCTAAAGAAAATTGATTATGAATTCAGCACGAAAAATGTGTTGAACGAGTAGAAAAAAACGAGAACAAACTACACGTGAACAATAAATAAGTTCAGAAGAGTTTTTATTTCGATCGAAAAGAATTTTATTTCTTAGATTTCTTCGTTCCACGTCCTGTCGCTTTCTTGGTCGTTCGTTTTACATACGCTTTACCTTCCTATCAATAAAAAAAAGTAAACATCAATGCGTGCTACAAAGAAGGAAAAGAGAAGAATAAATTACTTTGGCTGTTTTAGCCATTGTACCAAGCCGTTTTAATGCAGGTTTACGAGCAGGTTTGGCTTTCTTTGCTTTAGCAGCCGGTTTCTTAGCTGAAGCTGATGCTTGTCGGCGTTTAGTTTCTTGACGTGTATCGCCAAGGATTTGTTGACCAAGTAAATCTTTTGCTTCCTGTAAAAAGACAGAGTGCGCATTCAATTGAAAATGAATGATATCTATACTTTAGCTGTGTTTTGCATAGTTCTTGCTTTTGAAAGCTTTGGTTTTGCTTTCGCTTTGGATGTTGAGGCAGAAGATGTTTCATCGCGTGCATCAAGAATAGCGTTGACTTTATTTAATTGGTCTTCGCCCCATGTTCGTTTTAAAAAATCTGTACCAGCCTGAAAACAGATAAATAAACAGTTTGGTACTTTTCCTTTTGAATAAAATTCATCAAGGATTGTTTGTCTTACTGCTACGGTCGTCGCCATCGTTCCTGCTTTTTTTAAGGACGATTTTGTGGTTTTGCCTTTCTTCGGAGACATCGGTTCGCTCTATTGCTTGTGTACGCGCGTAAGTTTATGTGAAATGAGAGGAATGAATGAATAAATGAATGAGTGTGTGTATATATATATATATGCAGGTAGGCGCCTCGGTTGTGTTTACCTAGAACATATTGAAAATGAAGATTAGAACAATGTTTCGACATAAAATATCAATTATATAAGATTTATTCTTGGAAATATATGCTAGCAGATATGTGTAGAGTAATTCTATTAAGAAAGGGAAGTTTATATCTAAGTTTCAAGGTGAAATTTCATATATTTAGGCATGTCATGTGCAATATCTCGTTCTCCTCTCCTTCTCTTTTTTTTTTATGAGAGAGTAAATTGTGTGTGTGTGCGCGCGCACGGTCAGAGTCAATAGAAAAAGAAAGGAGAGGAAAAAAACGTCAAATAGTGGCCATCAGCGAAATTCTTCGCTTACTTAAAGGTCATACAGAAAAGACGGTTGGTCAGAATGAAGAACACGGATAAATTTTAATTCAAACTATTATAAAAAGTGCACCTCTTGCGCTCATTCACCATCTGCATACAGGTGTGCAAAAATCACATGGTGAACGTGATGATGTTCAGGCGTCTTTTGCGGATAAGGTCATAGTCCTCTATGTGACTGATATTAGAGTTAAATATGTGATAATTAACGGAAATTAATGTTTGGAGAAAATTGATTGAAAAAGACAGCTGTCATTCATTTTTCTGTCAACACAGAATTTGTTATACAAGCGTGAGAAACAGTGTAACATATTACACTATTCATTCAGGTTACCCGTGAATTAGTTTTTTCAAACAACGATATTTTTAATCGATATTCACCGTATGACTGTATTTCAGATTGTCCGTACTCGATCAATCAATCATCGATGTGTACAGAAGGACCGTTAGATTGTTATCGTTTATAGAAAATAAATCAAAGACGTGCAAGTTTTACTATCTTGTTTTGATCAAGACAAAAACACTTGAAAGCATTAGACCAAAATTTATGCATCTAATCCTGTTTGAAAAAGCGTTCTTTGATGGGATATTACATGTTTACCAGAGAGATTTTCATCCACTTAGTAGTAACCGATAGTGTCGCACATTCGAATATTACCAACTGCTTTATTAACGTCTATTTAGCATTGACAAGAATACTTCTGAGAAATCATAACGACCAGCGCCTAACTGATTGCTGTTCGTTGCATACGCATGCAGATTGTATATCCGAATTATTCGAAGAATTCTTCAGTATTTTAACAAGTTTATAAAGCTCTGCTATAAAAAAAACAGGGATGGACATATTCACACAAACTCTCATGGAAAAAAGATCAGTTCGTCAGGAAGACTTCGATTGTTCGGCTTGTTTTTCTTGCAATCGTTTGAGTATTTCCAATTTTTTCTGAATAATTGGATCTCGTGAAATCGTATGTTCTCTTCGTTTGTTTTCACTTTCAACTTTATTCATTTGTCGATGTGTTTCAAGCTAAAATAAGTGAACAAACGTTCTCTTGAATCATCCGACCAGTCCAACTTACATCTTCTTTTTTACATCGATACAATTGCGCTAGTAGACCATCGCAAGCTCCTACAGCTCGAGATTTCTTCTCAATGCATTCATAGAATTGATCTAAGATTTCATTACATTTCGGATCAAGAAAACGATGTGTACCGGTTAGAAACGACATCTAGAAAAGTGAAGTAAAGATGTTATTTGAGTTCGATGATTGTTTTAGAAAAGCAAAACAAACAAAACAGAACAGAAGAAGAAAACAATTTATGGAAGTGTTTTTCAGTCGAATAACGTTCGATCTACATGGATTTGACTTTCATTTGTTTCATTTTCGGTTGTCGTCGCTTCATTTCCCGTTTGTGCTCCTTTTCTTCCCATTTACGCTGCAATTCCGCATCATCTGATTGCATGACTTTCTCTTTTTCAGCACGACGTTTTTCTTCACGCCGTAACTGGGCTTGTTCTTGACGTTGTAGATTGACACTTTTGAGAAATTGTTCTTCGATACGCTGACGATTTTTCGTTGCCTTATTCTTCAACTCCTTCGATCCAAAACGGAATGCGGCCACACGGTCAATCAGTTGTAAAACAAAACGTAGATAATCACCAGGAAGACTTTCACTAGTAATTTGAAGTGAACGACCGTCTTGTGGAGTTAAATTAAATGCAACAATCAATACACGACGAACAGAACGTTCGCTTGTGTTCAGTGCGTCTTGTTGTTGAGCGGCAGTGCCAGTATTTGTGGCAGCATTGGATGAAGTTTGCTGATCACTTTGAATTTTCATGCCACTATATTGATCACTGATATGGATATATTCAATTGCATCAGGATATCTAAGCACATCAAATGTTCGTAGAAAATCAATTGTCAAAAATGAAACATTACTTAGTGAGAAATTCGGCTAGTTTTTGATCATTAGTGATGTGTGATGAAGCTTCTCCAATTTCGCTCAGAACTTGATAGTTTCCAGGGAAGCCCTTTTTATCAGCGCTTTTCCTTTCCGCACAGAATTGACTTAGGTCGACCATGTCACGATGAAGTTTTACAGCTGAACGTTTCTTCGCTAGACAGAACACAAATGTTTCCATATCATCTTTGTTAAAATCAATTGTATAAACAAGAGTATCATTGATCGATTTGATTATTGCTGCCAATGAGTTGAACGCACATTGACGTTTAACTAAACGTAATTCTATCAGCATGCTTTCAATGGCCACTCGGCCACTGCACCATAAAATATATAAATGATCGGATTCTTTTTGCATTTGATTCACTTGATCGTCTGTCTCAGTATTTCGTGTCTGGCCATCGTCGCCGACGAGAGCAAAATTGCGGTCAAGTAAATCTCGTTGTGCGTGGTAAACAGTCGTTGCCAAACGAGCATTCTTAGCACGGCCAATAAGAAAATTGATTAAGTAAGCAAGTAAAGCAATGATCATCACAGCTTCACACTGGTAAGCTTCCCATCGATTGCCAGTTAAATTAGCAGGCACTTCAGCTATTTTCAAATCAGGTGTCGCCGAAGTTGCTGAAGCAAATGAATCAGACTAAAAGAAGTGAATAATTATTTCAGAATTAATAATTCTACTTCTTACTGCCTCGAATTCTTCATCGTCAAACATTGAGTCATCATCTTCATCAATAACACTAACTTCTTCTTCATCGTCTTCTTTCTCTTTTTGTTTCCCTTTATTTGAATCCGCTTGTATAACTTTCTCAGTTTCGACTACATCAGGTTTGCTGCCTTGCGTTTTTGATGATGATAGAGTAGCGCTAGTAGTTGATGGTGTTTCTAAACCAGTCGTACAATAGAAGTATGATCATTGCATGGATTTTCATAACGCTTACCGACAACGAATTCGTCTTGATCGAAATCATCGAATTCAGAAAAATCTTCGTCTTTCACTTTTTTTGCTGCTGAGCAGATAAAGCATAAAAAAACTATGACTAAACATATTGCTAAACGCATTTTTTATCGTATTCAATAATAATAATAATGATAGATAGAAAAAACATCATCGACATTTTACTTCATTCTCATTGGTGTACGCCAAATAACCAGTGAAGTTCGATTACGAAAAACTTTTCGAGATTTTTTTAGAAATGTTTTCAAAAATTTCCTGTGATTTTGTGATGAAAATTTTCAATTCGAAGTGTGTTCGATTTTTATCATAGATGGGAGTATTAAGTTGCGAACCAAAGAACCAATGAGAAAGCACAACGTCTTTTTTACGTTACGGACACTGGTCTAGTTCAATAAGCATATGAAGAATTGAAAGAAAAAACGATTTTTTTTTTGTTGCTTGTTTTGCTTTAGATCAATTATTTATAATCTTTCTTTTTTATTTTTTTTCAAAAAGCCAAAACGGAACATTATTACACGTAATCAATGCTCTATATCAAAGAAGTCTATCTGATGCTGTTGCTTATCGGAGTGTAATGCAATTGTCAAGGTGAGAATGAATAAGAGAAGATAGAGATAGAACGAACAAGGTCGAACATTTTATACTTTTGCGTTCGATGGAAATTGTAATCAATGAGTACCACTTGATATTTTAACTAGAACAAACGATGTTTCGAATCGTTTTTATTGTTGAAGCTTCCGATGTGAATATGATTTCTGAATGATCGATCTGATACATTGATTCATCGGCAGGCGGTGAATGTGTTTTTTTTCCTCTTCATTCTGTTCTCTTTCTACCTACGTTTAGTCATGACTGCGTGGTATTATTTTTTCAAAGATGTTTAAAAAATAACTTACCGAAGGTGTATAGAATATATTCACATCGCCATATATGGTCAAATAAAATTCGTTTATCTTTGCATACAAACGATACCACATAGAACGGAGCGAGATAGAAATAAATGTGTAGATATTTAGAGACGATAACTTCATATTCATTTTAGGTTTTATTCAGTGTCTTCTTACAACATATAATATTATCATTCCTATCTTTTCTCACCCTTCATGGCTCGCGTCGTTCGTAATAGCAAGTTTCGGTGAGTGAATCTATGACTCTATAACTATTGAATTATAAATGGTCCTTATGAAACATTAGTCATGTTTTTGGTCAGCCAACGAAGAAATCCGATTGTTATGACAATATACGTATAACAAAAAGTGCTTGGGATTCGACATTCTGTGCAGTTAATCCGAAATTCGTTGCAATCATAACTGAATCAGCTGGCGGTGGTGCGTTTCTTGTATTACCGCTGGAAAAAGTTGGACGCATCGACCGAGAAGTTCCACTTGTCAGTGGTCATAAATCAGCTGTACTTGACATCGCCTGGTGTCCACACAATGATAACGTCATTGCTAGTGGCTCGGAAGATTGCACCGTTAAAATCTGGCAAATACCAGATGGCGGAATAACAGCGACACTAACAGAATCATCGGTTGATCTTGTTGGCCATCAACGACGCGTGGGACAAATCGCGTGGCATCCAAGTGCATTGAATGTCTTGCTCAGTGCTGGTAATAGGCATAGTTGTTTCTTGCGTTGAAGAAATTTCGAAGGAGACTTTTAGGTGGTGATATGAAAATTTTCATTTGGAATGTTGGTAAAGCGACAATTTTATCAACTATCGATTGCCATACAGAACCTATTCTGAGTGTATCGTGGAATTTTAATGGCTCACGTATTGTCACCTCATCGAAAGATAAATTATTACGAGTCATTGATCCACGCAGTGGTGAAGTTCTTCAAGTAAGCGCAAACTTCAATCAGACGAAAAACGTATGCTCATAAATATTTTCTCTCTTGCAGTCAGGAACTGGACACCAAGGCGGAAAACCTGCTCGAGCGATTTATTTACGTGATGGGCGAATCTTTTCGACGGGCTTTTCAAAAATGGCTGAACGACAATATGCTGTCTGGGATGAGGTTTGTTTTTCTCGCGAAGCATTGAAATAAACAAATAGCATCGATCTTTTCTAGAACAATCTTTCTGCGGCATTAACAATGGAAGAACTTGATTCATCAAATGGTATTATGTTTCCATTCTATGACCAAGACACTAATGTTATTTATCTATGTGGAAAGGTAAAACTGCATTTGAGAAAACAAAATAAACTTATTCGTAACAATTGGATTTCTTTAGGGAGATTCAGCGATTCGATACTTTGAATATACACCCGAAGCACCCTACATTCATTATCTTAGTTCGTATACATCTTCGGATCCACAACGTGGAATTGGTTCTATGCCAAAGCGTGGATTGAATATTAGCACATGTGAAATCGCTCGGTATGCGCGAAAATTCTATAATAAAAAGATTTATTTCCTACATTTACTTTCATCTACGTAGCTTTTATAAACTACTGAACAGTGGTCTTTGTGAAGTCATCAGTTTTACTGTACCACGAAAAGTAGTTACTTGTTTGATAAACTGACAATGATTTTCTATCGATATTTCTCTGCTATAGTCAGAGCTTTTTCAAGATGATCTGTACCCGGATACGGCTGCTGAAGAACACGCTATCACTGCTGATGAATGGATTGCCGGACAAGATGCTGATCCAAAATTGGTAAAATCGAAGACGAAATCATCGTTTTTTGTCATTGTCAGTCTGTTGATGTTTTAGATTTCCATGCGTGACCTACATTCAGGTACAAAATCTGCACAAAGTTCAACAACGTCCAGTCCGTCGCCAGCGAAAGAGGTTGTGTTCGGTAAAACAGGTCTAGCTGCAAAACCGTCCGAACCCAGACCCACAAACAATTCAGTTCCAAAAGTACAGATGAACTTGCGCGCATACCGTGAATGATTATTTATCAATTATTTCTTTAGTCGGATACAAATTCTGTTCACTCGACTAAACCACCATCAACTACTTCTTCTCCTCAAGTCGTTGCTGCCAACAATAAAGAAAATGAAGAGCTTCGTCGTCGTGTGGACGATCTTGAGCGTCGTGTTAAAGTCCTTGAAAAAGCCCTAGCAAATAGTTCAGCTCCAGGGTCGACAGTTCAGGATAGTGATAATTCTAAGGACAATAATACTGCCGATTCGAATGATGTTGATGAAGATTTAAAATTTTAATTTTCAGTTTTATTCATAATATTCTTCTATATTCGTATATATGTTTTGTCTGTTTGTCAATTGAACATTTCTTTTTCAAAAACATTCCTATCCGGTGTTGTATCTTCCGTCTAAAGAAATATTATTAAAGAGTACCATTTTCTTTTCTAAACAATCATTTTAGATGAAGTTCTTTTCTTTACTCATCTTCTTACTAATCTGCTTAGTGACATTGATCTCAGCTGGGTAGGTGATGCTCATTGAGAGCGAATCTTCCGGGATCGAAACATGTCTGTTTCTATTTAGTCGAGACTTTTATAAAATTTTAAATTTACCGCGAACAGCAACTGTTAATCAAATAAAGAAGTCGTATCGAAAATTAGCAAAAGAATTACATCCAGATAAAAATAAGGATGATCCCAAAGCTCAAGAACGTTTTCAAGACTTAGGAGCTGCTTACGAAGTAAAACTCGCTTTCAAAAACGATTTTCTTGAATAGATCATTTGCTTTTTTTTCAGGCATTATCCGATCCAGACAAACGTAAAATTTACGATAAACATGGCGAAGAAGGTTTAAAACAACAAGGCGGCGCTGATTCATTTCATGATCCATTCTCAAGGTTGAATTACTTGGTGTCCTTTTGCCATTTTAGAAACAAATATTTATGTTGATTTAGTTTTTTCGGCGACTTTTTCCATTTTGGTGGAGGATCAAGAGATGATGGACATAACCATGTGCCTCGTGGTGGAGATTTGGTCATGGATTTATATGTCACACTCGAAGAAGTTTATAATGGAAATTTTATCGAGGTATGACTGGGAAGAACGTAGAATTGTTCTCAGTGGAAATGTCATTGTTGTTAAGGTTGTTCGAGCGAAACCAGTTGCTAAACAAACAAGTGGTTCGAGAAAATGTAATTGTCGAATGGAAATGCGAACAACTCAAATGGGCCCAGGAAGAGTAAGATAACTAGTTCTACTTCGAGGCAGAGTATTGAAATCGGATTGGTTTAGTTTCAAATGATGCAAGAGCAAGTCTGTGATGAATGTCCAAATATTAAGTAACAGCCGAATTCGAATTGAAAATGTCGTCTCAACAAATAATTATTCCGTGTTTGTAGATTCGTCACAGAAGAAAAAGTATTAGAAATCGAAGTCGAAGCCGGTGTTGCAGATGGATATGAAATCCCATTCCTTGCTGAAGGTTTGCTCTTCCAATATTAACATATGAATCACATCTTTCTATTTATTCTAGGAGAACCACATTTGGAAGGTGAACCTGGAGATTTAAAATTCACAATTCGTATTCAAAAGTAAATTCAGATCAAATTTCAATCTTGATCTAATTAACATTCTTCTACTTCTACATAGACATCCCCTATTTGAACGCAAAAAGAACGATCTTTATACGAATTTGACCATTACCCTTCAAGATGCATTGAACGGTTTTAATCTAACTATCACCCATCTTGATGGTCACAAGGTAAGCGGGGAATTCGTGTTATCGATCGCTGAATTGTCTTTTATAGGTAACTATAAATCGTGAAAAAATCACATGGCCCGGTGCGCGTATAAAGAAGAAAGGTGAAGGTCTTCCTCAACATGATCAAAATAATATTGTCGGTGATCTTTACGTTACTATCGATGTTGCCTTTCCCAAAACTGAACTCAACGATGAGCAACGTGAAAGTAAGAATAATTCAAACTTGATTCACCCAAAATCGCCTGTTTTTTCTATTTCAGTCGTAAAAAATCTGTTCAATCAAGAGTCTAAGCACAGACTGTATAATGGTTTATAAACTATTGACTCACGACATTTTGTTTAGGCTAATATAAAAAAGCATAATTTCTTTTTAACTGCAAATGCCGAATATGTGATGTATTGTTCCCACATTTTTTTTTGTCTGATCTGATAAAATCCATTTGTTTGTCATACATTTAAATTCCAAAAAAAAGAAACTCGCATTTATATCCTATTGAAATCGCGATAGTACTTGTCTGTCAAGCAGCAATAGATTTGTAATTTTAGTTGAAGAACGAACAGGAAATGTCTGTTCTCAACAGTTTGATTACACGAAGCAATCATCAAGATTTAGAGTTTAAAAGAGAGCGGTTGCTTTTTATTTCACGTCAATCATCGAATGAAGATAGTTTTTCAATTTATTTTGATCCTCAGTAGACAATGAAAAAGAAGAAGAAGAAGAAGATAAATCCTTATTTATACTTGTTTGTCCAATGCCATTAAATGTTGAATGTATGATTCCCAAGTCGGTTGAGCTAAATTTAAATCCTTACAAATATTTCCGTATTTGTCACGTGTATCAATAACAAATTTCACGGCAAGTTCACCTTTGTCGATATAGGTTTGCATAATTGGATCATCTTTCATCGAAAACTAAGAAAAAGTCAAATCATGTGTTTTTTTTCATAAATCAAGATTTTCATCACTCACCCCTTCCAATTCGGAGCGTGCTTTTGACACAAACTGTTTAATAGCATCAATATCAACAGGAAACTTGGTTTTTTGACTATGGTATAAAAAGTAAAACAGAATGGAAGCTGTTGCTATGAGGCGCAGAATTTCATCGGAAGCTGAAAATAAGAGAAGGAAATAACAGATGTAATGCATAACATATTCATTTACCAGATGAATTCAAGCCTTTGTCATTTAAATCCTTTTTAATTTGTTCAAAATCTACGTTAAAAAGTTTACCGAAATTTTCCGTCGCGGAAAACGAACCATCCTGAAAGAGATTTCTGCTCGAAAAAGTGAAAGACAAACACCATTCTTTACGTTATTTTGATGATGAAAGATTTCATTGACAAGAGAGTCAGTTAACGGGGTTTCAATGATTGATTGTAATGGTGCATCTAATGAATCATTAAATACATAAATTGTCTTGACTAATCAACTCAATTACCTGCTGTATTAGCTGAAACAGATCCGATTGTTTTTTCCTAATCAAAAGTATCAACTTAATTCTTTCACAAGAAGAAGAAATTCTTACTGCTTCGTTGCTCGTCATTGTGTTAGTTCACTTTAACAAATGCTAGCAGACTGGCAGTGGCAGAATAAGACACGTCGAGCGAAATAAGACTCTACACTTTCTCTCTTTTTTTCTCCGTTTAGACACATACAGCACCATTCGCTCATTCATATTTCTTCTCTTTTTCTTCTTATTTGTCGGTCAAATAACAACCGCCGACAGAGGAGCAGCTTTCACCGCCTTCTTCATAAATGACAGTTCTACATACAGAAAAAAAAAACGAGAGAATTAGTCAACTTTGCCTTCTTCTAATTCTTCCTTTTTTCTCGATGCTCTTCGTCAGCGTAGTATGCACACATTACTTGAAATTGACGAATATACTTAGAGAGAATATCATGTTTATGGTATCATTGAAATGTGCTGCAATAACAATTCTTCTGGACTCGAACAAATTCATGTTTATTTCTTTTGATTTTTTCTCTTGTCGCGAAATCAGAGACAGAAAAGAACGAGTCACAAAAAAAGTTTACACACAAATTCTCCAAGGAAAAGCTGACATTAAAAAAGTCCAAGAAAAAAGTAGTTTTCTCGTCCATCTCTCTTTTTCTCTTTGGTATAAAGACGATAGGAAATTGTTCGTGAACAGATTACTTCTTATTGATAAATTCAATGTGTTCAGATGGATCTTTCGCTGAGAAATTGAAACAAAAGAAAGAGAAGAAAACAGATTTGTAATATGCTAGAGTATATTTGGATGAGAAAAGTCACGATTGATGTTTGTTTGTTAGTTTGTGTGTGTGTGTGTGTGTGCGTGTGATAGTGTTTTTGAAAAGAAAGAGCGCAAAATAAAATAAAGAAAGAAATAAAGAAGAAAAAAAAGTTAGCACACACACGTACAACAACGAAAAAAGACGAAATTTTGTAATTGATAACGATGAATGATATTTGATATACGGTCTATTTTATTTTGATGTCATCATGGTTACGAACTCTTCGTAGTTGACTTGACCATCTAAAGACGAAACGGAAGTGATGTAACAAAGGAGTATTTGATTGATTTACCTCCGTCAATATCTGCTTCACGAATCATCTCATCAACTTCTTCGTCTGTCAATTTTTCACCCAAATTTGTCATCACATGACTGAAATAGAGAGACAGCAATGCATACGAGTTGCAAAGGTAGATAGACGAGTTCTTACCGCAATTCTGCGGCGGATATGAATCCATTACCATCTTTGTCAAATACACGGAATGCTTCGCGAATTTCTTCTTCACTATCAGTATCTTTCATTTTACGTGCCATCATTGTGAGAAATTCGGGAAAATCAATCGTACCATTACCTGAAAACAAAAAATATCTGATTCGATAACCGAAAACAAAGCTAGTGTAGAAGCAAATAACTAGATCAGGGCATGTTCAACTTACCATCAGCATCTACTTCATTGATCATGTCCTGTAATTCTGCTTCGGTTGGATTTTGCCCCAAACTACGCATGACAGTGCCTAGTCGACGAAAACAATCGTTATTGTAACAGAGTATATGCTATTGTCATTCATACCTAATTCTTTCGTAGTAATAGTTCCATCTCCATCCTTATCGAAAAGAGAAAAAGCTTCTTTGAATTCAGCTATTTGTTCTTCTGTCAATTGATCAGCCATTTCACTTTGGACCTTCTCCTTTGCGTAACGAGCCTAAACCCTTCCGAAATAATATGAATCTACAAAAACAAGTTACATCGACGATGATTATTTCGATAAAGTCAAATAAATAAGCAAAATACACCTTGACTCCTTTAATGAGCGTCGCGAATGGTTCGATCGTTTCTACCTACGACGACTACTAGATGTCGCTGAAATAAATATGAAAAGTAACGATGTTTATCAAACGAAAATCAAATTCGTAATTGAAATATCGAAGCTGCATCGCGAGTTGTTTATTTTCATGAATGATAAACAGAGTGCCATGATCCTTGTTCTTCTGTCCCTCATGAACCAATCATTTCGAAATAAAACACGAAGGAAGAACAAGAAGAGAGAGAAAAAACGAGCAGACACAAAGAAGAAAGGAAGAAAGAACGAACGAGAAAATGAGTATTTGTGTGTTGCAATTGCTTCTTAAAGGAAAGAACATCCAAATACAAGCAGCATTTTCCTTTTTTCAGATCGTCGAGAATAAAAACGTCATCCGTCGGCGAGAAAAACGCCAACATCTGACGAGTTCGATTGAGAGGGAGAAGGTTTTCTTGCGTATGTGTGTGTTTGTTTGAAAAAAAACCACGCGTTTATTGTCTGTTTGCGGTTAAACTCTCTCAATGGCTGAAGGAGGTCAGAATATGTCGTCAGGTAATGTGAATGGTGATCGGCTGCAACAATCAGAACAACAAGGTTTGTCACTTAAACAAACAATCTTCGTTTTTACTTTTGTAACTCTTGAAAAAGGTGGTCCAGCGATACACGAAGAAGAATTAGCAAGCAAAGCACTTCATATTCAAGCGAAGCGATTTTATCTCGATGTTAAGCAAAATCGCCGTGGACGATTTCTCAAAATAGCTGAAGTAAATACAAATTTTGATCGTATGACTCATCAACTTTTCTAAGTGTCATTCTTTATAGGTTAGTTCGGGTGGTCGTAAAAACCGTATTTTAATGTCAATGAGTGCTGCCAGCGAACTACGCGATCGTTTACAAACTTTCGACGAACAAATTCATGCATTAGGTAAAGTTCCAATTGAATGATTCTTGTATTTATCATCGATTCACTTCAGGTGAACAATCGATCGATAATGATGAACAAGTTCGATCAGCTGTTATATCGCGTGATGATCGAAAGTATTATTTGGATTTACGAGAAAATGAACGTGGGAAGTTTCTGCGCATCTCAATGGTCGGTAGTAATACCCCTCGTTCGCAAATTGCAATACCTGCACAAGGAGTACAAGAAATATGGGAGACACTAGCCAAATTAATCGAAGAATTCGGCAATGAAGACGACCGAGGTACGATTTGAAAAGCTTTCCGAGATCATCTAATCAAATTTCCTTTTAGACAGTATCGAAACGCCACCTGCAATCGGTAAGATCTCCTTAGTGAGAGTACATCACTTTGTCATGTAATAATATGCATACTGAATTTAGAACCAACTGAATTACCTGCTAGCAAAAACCTTCGTGTAGGAAATAAGAATTTCTATTTTGATATTGGTTCAAACAATCGCGGCGTATTTTTACGAATATCCGAAGTAAATAAAGTTGATATTCATCAAGATTTCATAGATGGGTTTGTTTGCTAGGTTCGTCCTAACTCTCGAACAACAATAACCATCCCGGAAAAGGTATGGTCTCGCTTTCGCGATGATCTGAGTGAATTAATTGTCACAATGGATGATAAACGAAACCATTCTCGTATAAATCCCGGTGAAGAGTCGGCCATTCCGCCAAGCGGAAACTAATATTTTCCTTTCATCTTTCGTATTCGCTGAGTTGTTTTCAAACATAATCATTATTTAATGAATATTATTTTTCATTTTTTCAAAAAATGTTCTTCCCAGTTCTTCTTTTCACCGGTGTTCTCTTTCTGCTTCTATCTATACATATATTTATTTAGAATGGAAGGTTTTTCCTCTAGTAACTCATATTCTTGTCTTGTATTCTATTTATTGACGAACACAAAACTTTTGTTTGTTGTGCGTGCGTGTGTGTGTGTGTGTGTTTCTCTCGCTTTTATAGATTAGTCTATGTACATGGGAAAGATTAGAATAATCTTTTGCTTTTACAATCGGTGTTTTGCATATTTTTGTTCCACAAACAGTATTTCAAATTTAAATGTCAAACTAATGAATCTATTTTATCCTTAGATATGATTTATTAATTATTTGTTTGTGAAAATTCTCTCAATGCCGTTATTTGGAAGAAGACTGTTTCGAATTAACGAAGAAGACACTCCAGACGACAGTGGAGAAACTTATACAATTGAACATACAGGCGAACAATATCACAGTAAAACTTTGTATGACAAATTGCAGAAAGTTTACCAGTTGGAACGGTGGACTTGTGAATGTACATGGCGAGCAGGTTTAACTCATAAAGAAGCGTACCAATCGGAAAGTGATATAAGAAAAACTTTATCCACGGTTGTACCCAATTACTTCAATAAACCTATTTTTGAAATTATATATCACAGTAAGAATTTCAACTGCGCATGTGAAGTTTAGTGAAGCTGTTTCTTGTCGTTTAGATGTAAAACCATTGGAAAAACTAGCTGAAGAAGTATCGATTCTACTTGGGTAAGAATGAGGAGGTTAAAAAGAAGTTATGACTTGTCCCGTTTGGGTATGTTTAGCCAAAGTTTTGTTCTCAATGAACCAGTTCAATTTAAGAAGAAAAAAGACAACACAGCGTGAGTGAAGTTCGAATGTGTTTATCCTTCCAATAAATCTTGCTTTAGTATCAAAGGAATAATCGAACTGATCGAAGATAATGATGATCCAAAAAAACGATCATCTGAACGCGTATCTATTCAAGCCAAACCGCCCTCAGATAAAGTATACCATCAATCGATATGTTCATTTGTGTTTCTCGAAACAAGCACGTTTATTTTTAGCAAATGAAGAATGTAAAATATTCCGTGAGGCTATCGGATGAAGATCGTGTCGTGCCCAACGTTCTTCCAACTGAATTACAGTATGTCAATGAGAAAAATAATTCAACTAATTGATAATTCACATTTAGACGGTGTACATTGATACCAAATCGTGAAAAATTGAAAACATTTATTCGCGCATATGCGATCCGTCTTGGGAACCGAATTGATAGTCCATGGGTATTCTATGATCAATCAAATAAAGATACATATGAGCTTAAAGATCGAATAGCAACAGATATTATTGAAAAGTTTCACAAGTCAACGATAGTGACGCTGGATGTAAGAGACAATTCTTGTTGAAGATGAAACAGTAGATTGAGTTCGGTTTATTTTCTGTTGAAGGAAATTCTTCGCGAACAAGAACGAATCGCACGAAAACAAGCCGAAGAACAAGCTGCTGCACTGGCGGAAGATAATAAAGCAAAAGAAATCAATAACAATAGTAAAGCAAAACTTGTTCATATGTTTCAATTCGCAATTTTTAATCTTACTTGTAGTGTCAATTCCGAATGGTCATTCCGACGATGTCAAAATTATTTTTTCCGACGATGAAAAAAACCCGAAAACGTCCCCGAAGGCTAAGGTCAAATCATCTCCGTCTAAAAAGGCGCCTACTCCATCAACGAAACAAAGCAAATCTTCTAGTAAAGGAAAAAAACAATTAACGTTGCACGATATGAAGTTTACCAAGAATTCACCTAATCATAACGAACTGCTGGAGAAATCATCACTGAAAACTTACGATGTCATCATTCCACATTCACTCTTACAGAAACTTGACAAAACTCGGCGTGAACGCGGCATTGATTCGAGATATTTTCATCGTTTGATTCTTAATTGTGCTCGAACATTGAATGATAAGCAACGTTTACGTTTGCCTGATGAATACCGATCGATAATCCAAATGAAATACGATGAATTAGAACTGAAGCGCCGTTTATCACAAATGACCGATGAAGAAAAGAAATTATTCCTTCAAAGCAAACGCCTAGAACAAAAGCCTATCGAAGATACTGATTGCACATTCCTGAAAGATTTACCAATGCCTAAAGAATTACAAACCACATTGGACGTTTCATCAGATTCAATTGGAAATCTTCTTATGATTTCAACATTTCTTACCTCATGTCATTCGTTGTTCTATTTATCTCTCAACGATGAAATTTCGAAGAGCACACAAGTTTATCTACGTTCGTTTAAACTAGATTCATTGCTTCAAACTTCCACGCATTTATTCACCAATTACTTTTTGGAAATTTTACAAATTTTAATGAAACTACTGTTCAAAGAAGATGAAAATCGTTCGAATGAAAGTGACAATCAAGATGGCGATGAAGAAGAAGCAGCAGCAGCAGTAGAAAACGACAAGGTTGAGAATCCAAACGAGAAGAAAAATAAAGAGAAAAATCTCAATGATAGTAATAATAACGAACAGATGGATATCGAGGAGGTCTACTTCATCCAATTATCTGATATTCCATTAACATCTTATACATGTCAAGAATTGACACGATTGTATTTGTTAAAAGAAAAGGATGAGTCGAACCAAGTAATTTTGGATAAATTAGCTAATTGCGAAGCAAAAGATTTGCAGATTTCCGATCAAGTAAGATTGTTCCTATACCTATTGTTGTTTTTCTAATTGTTTGTTTAGATCAATCTTCTCGTACTGTTGGTGAATACGATTACCACTGATAATGAATTAATGGCTGATTATTTTGAACATTTAACTCGTATTCTATCGGAAGCATCACGCGAACGTAACCAACTATTAGCTGAACGTCGTAAAGCACAAGAGGAAGAAAGCAAACAAAAGAAATTACAGTTACAAAATGGTGAAAATGAGAAAGTCTCGTCGAAGAAACAGAGTAAACCATTGATTCCCGCCAAGTCAAGTAATGGAACAGCAAATGATGAAAATGAACAAACAACACCGATGATTATTGATGAGAATGGCGATTTTGATAACGATAATGACGATGATTTGAAAACTGTTTTGCAACGTCGACGACAAATGGTTGCTCTATCGAAAGAATTGAAGGAGAAACGAGAGATTGAAGCACAGAAATTGCAAATAAAGCAAAAACGACAATTAGCTATTCAAAAAGCCGAGCAAATCTATCAAGTAAGGATAAAAATATTGACAAAGCTTTTTTTTCTCAATGTAAACTATTGATTTAGGAAGCGTTAATTAACCTCCAATATGGTTTCCGAATAAAACCGCTAGGTTATGATCGTCATTATAATCGATATTGGTTTTTTCGGGGTTATCCAGGTATTTTCGTCGAAAAAGGTATGTTTATACAAAAAGATTAATAGATATATTTACGATACCGGCTCTTTTTTATAGGATGGATCGGTCCTAATGTGAATTATTTCGTTGAATTAACATCCGAAGAAATTCCTTTATTGACAAGTAATGAAAAAGTAATACCAAAAGATGAATCAAACCAATGGTTTGTGTACGACGATGAAAACCTTATTCAACAATTGCTACATACCCTAAACGACCGTGGCATTCGTGAGCATAACTTGGCACTCAATCTGAAGAAGGCTATGCCTTATATTCACGCAGAGTTCGAACAATTGAAGAAGTCAAAGAATTCCCTCGATCAACAAGATGAAAATTCAGAATTCTTAGCGGACATGATCAGTTCATTTAAAACTGAACTTGAAGACATTGAGTCTCGTTTACGTCTTGGCTCGCTGGGTGGTTTTATCGTCAATGATAATCTTGTTGAATGGCAAACGAAACTAAAGCAAGCCACGGAACGTCATGAGCTTGCCGAAGTACTGATTCAATTGCAGCAAACAGTTGCAGAAAAATATGCCTCCGGAATATTCAATTCCTCAGATAAGAAGCCTCTTCAAATATGGTTCAACGATTGCCGAACGTGCAAAACGTACCCACGTTTATATGTTCTAATGTTAGTATTCGAAAATTGCATCACATGGAACAAATCCACAGTTGGCTTAAAATGCAAAGTTTGCCGTAAGAAACAAAAAGATGAATCCATTATTGTGTGCGATCAATGCTGTTATGGTTATCATCCTGAATGTTTACGCGGCTGTAATGATCCTTGTTTGAAAAATTCGGCGAATGATCTCTGGTTTTGTCCGGCATGTCGACCGACAAGCAAACGACGCGTCCGACAAGATAAAAAAGTGGATTACCAAGAAAATGATATATATGACAATGACATGGATGTCGATACTGATTCGAGTAGTAATGAAAGTAGTAGTAATGACGAACAAAGCTCGAATTCAGATGAGAATAATGAAGATGATGCTTGTCAAATATGTGGCGGTGAAAATGATTTAATTCAATGTACGCAATGTCAATCCTGCTATCATTGTCAATGTCATGAACCACCGCTGCGATGTCCACCACGTTCGACAACATGGTTATGCAATAACTGCCGATATGGAATTACGAATGAAACGAATAATCGTTCGAAATCATCGAAAAAAGTCGGGAAAACTAAACAGAAACCGTCAGCAAAACCACAAAAACAAAATACAACAAGACGAAGTTCGAATAACTTGGTTGAATAATCTCATTTAAAACTATATTAATCTTCCATTTCAGGTACACGTAAGAATTATCGTGAAGTAGATGAAGAAGAAGAAGAAAGTGACGATGAAGAGAAAACAACTGGTAAACGTCGATCGAAACGCTTACGTCGTTCAGAACCATCTCCTACCAAGCAAATCGAAAGCAATCAGCGTAAAAACCGACGAGCTCGAGTATCCAAATCATCATCATCATCATCATCAGCGTCGTCCAACAATGACAACGATGATGATGATGATGATGACGGTGGTGACAACAACGATCCAATGGAAACTAATCATGACGAAGAAACGGATTCCGACGAGAATGAACATCTCACTACTGATTCACCGTCCTCCAACTAGTCAAATTTACATTGATTATTTATACATCTCAAATTGTACATACATATAATAATCATAGGACAAGTCAAATGTTCTGTTTCCATGTAAATATTATATGTTTCGTATATCTTTATCTATCTATCTATCTATAGTCAATCTCGATGTTTATTTCTAACTCTGACATTATCTTAACCGGTTGTATATTGAAATCCAGCAAGAATAACTAAAACAAATTCTCTATATATCTCTGTGTTAAATAACACAAATTTCGATTTATTTTTGTTTTCTTTCTAAGAAAAATCTCTAACAGATTCTGTTGTGTTTTTTTCCATTTGTACTTGTATCTTTGTTTCCTCTTTTTTGTATCTTGGTATAAAAACTTTATTTTTGTACGTCATTCTAGGCGATATCTAATTGTATGGTCGATGTTTATGTGTTGACAAAAAGAAAATAAATAAAATTCATGAACTATTTTGATATGAGAAATGTGTCTATGTAGTTCAAAGAAATAGTTTTTGTAAAAAGTCGGTAATCATGGTCGCAACTTTGGGTGAATATGGTTTCACTTCTGATTCTTCCATTGTTGCGCTAATCACACCGCATGCGATACGGGCACCAGCATTTCTAAGAGAAGAAAAGCATAAGGAAGAAAATTTGATGAAGGTAAGACATACCCTGTTGTATTACTATCGGGAAAACCACCTTTACCGCCATCATCTCGTATTGCATGTAATACAATCGTACGATTCGCGATTGATCGTGTCGCGTTGTATAGATCAATGATGGCATCGGATATTTCCACAACGATTATACCATTTTCGTTTGCTGTAAGGTTGCCGAGATCACCAACGTGTCGATTTTTTATATCAGCTTCACGTGGACCGTGTAAAGTATCTAAATTGATTGAAAAAAAGAGATTTAGATGATGGACATGTTTCGCCTTTACTGTATGGGTTGAAGTGAGGACCAGCAGCAGTACAATTGAGTTGACCGGTAACCAATGGATCTCTGTGAACATGAAAACCCTAAATTTGCTATGAGACGAGGTGTAATGTTGTTGTGACGAGCTTACGTGAACTGTGTTACTCTTCAGACCATCTATAATACCGACAATACGAACTGGAGATGCTGGATCACGTTGATGAAACAGAAGGGTACCGATTCCAACTTGAGCAGAATCTATGTGAAGGTTTGCAGTTGCAACTAATGAACAGTGTTTAGTATGGACAAGTGATAAGAGACAAAGCGTAATGAATATTAGTTTCATTTTTAAACCACAGAAAGATTTACTGTGTTAACTGTGACTAGAATTGCTCTATTTATAGAAGGAAAAAGCTTATCAGCAAGGTGCTCTATTTAAATTTGCAGGGGGTGCTGACTTTATCTTTAATTCTTAGGATCCACCACTTTACAGCTGAATTTTACTTTTTAATAGAGTACTCGATGCCAATTGGAAGTTACTGGTAATGTATTTATATTTACTTTTTGCATGACTTCATGCATCTGTTCTTTGTATGCAATTATTTCTGAAATTTATTGCATGTCTTATCTTACAGTTGAATATAAATTTTCACTGTATGTTGTCTTTTTTCAAACGGGCTTAACCTTCGGTGTTCTACAAGTATGGTTATTGTTATTTACGTAATAAAAAAACTTTCGCAAGGATATTTATACTCAACAAGATAGAATGATATAGGTTACATCGAAAGCATGAGACATTATCAAAAACGAAATAGTAGAATTATAGCGATTAATTTGCCCGTTAAGCAAAGAAAAAATTGATCATGTCTTGGTTTAGAATAATTGCATGAAAACAATGGTCAAAATAGTGAACAGAATGAACATTGTTGGTTGCATATGAACAGCAACTGATTTAATCAAACCACAGAGAACACGAGCACCAGCATTTCTATGAAAAGAATATACTGAAACTGATTTTTTCATGCTAATGATTTGTCATACCCTGTTGTCGTACTATCTGGGGCTCCACTTTGGCCACCGTCATCACGCATACGATGGACAACTATAGTTCGATTCATGATTGACTGTGTAGTATTGTATAGTTGAATAATTATATCTGTCCTATCAATTGTCACTTCACCATTGGCATTCGTTGTTATATTTCCGAGATCACCAACATGTCGAGTACGTAAATTACCTGTTTCTGAACCATGAGTAACATCTGAAAATATCAATCAGTCATGTGTAAACAACTGACATTAGTTCCGTAACGAACTGTATGGATTAAAGTGTCCACCAGCAGCTGTACAATTCGGTGTGCCATCTGAGACTGGATAAACATGAACATGAAAACCCTACAATAGAACATTTTTCCTTGATTCTTTCACGTTTCACACTTACGTGTGCGCTGCTGACATTGAGTCCTGAAAGTGTGCCAGTGATTCGAACGGGTGCACCAGCATCCGCTTGAGAAAATGTTAAACTACCATAGGATGTTGGTGAGTTATCTCCATAGAGAACCGCTACAGCTTTCATCGAACATTGCACTTGATGAACCATCAAGAGCACAGCGCAAATAATTAATGTGAACATTACGTATGTAGGTAAAATAACGTCAAGAAAAAAACAAATGAAATCTAAAAGTAATTCACATGGCAGAATACGAAAATCATGCTTCTTTTCGTATGCGCCGATTATTGGGATGCTATTCAAATAATAGAACAAAAGAAAGCGATACACATTAATATACGTCGAATTCACAATGTGGGTAGTTTTTATTACAAGCATCGATCGCAGAGCAAATTTGCCAACGACTAGGTTAGCTACAAACAAGACAAGCATAAACGATTAAGGCATGTCCGATACATTCGTGAAATACTTTCATCGCAGATATCTACGCATAAAAGAAAGAGTTACGAATACGAAATGGTAAAAGTATTTGATAAAAACTTGAGAGAATGAGTCATCGAATAGTAGATAAAAAATTCAACTCATCCTTTTCTTCCCTGCAGAAAACATTATAAACAGAAAAGAATTGATTTTCGTCAATCTACATTATGACATTCAATCGTCTTCCGTCACCTTTCTGCTTCTTTTCGTCGAGAGCCTTGTCTCGATAGACAAATATCAAATCATAGATTAAAGCAAACGGTAAAAACATAAGTATTTATAGGCAACAGACACATAATCCAAAAAACAAAAAGTAACTATGGAAATAGGAACAAATACAAAGGTAAGAACTTACTCTGCTGTGTTGATTTAACCAGATAAAACTAAATGAAAAGTTGCTGTAGTGGAATTCGTCATTGTAAAAGAAATATACAAATTACATATCGAACAGCTACCTAATCCGTTTGTTATTTGTCGTCAACGACAAATGATAATGAACAAATAGTTGTATACAATAACATAAATATTTCTCGTAATTTAGATTTGCTTTTTCCTGCTCTTGTCGTTTATTGAAAATGGATTTTGTGCAAAAGTAGAATACAAATGGATGTACCACAAACCGTATGGAACTACAGTACACCTCGAGCCACTTTTCAATAAAACGCAGTGCTTTCCTCAATCGCAATGCTATTGGTTATTACCTGATAAACACACTCAAATTTATTATCCAGTAAATGCAAGTACGTCATCGAGATATACAATATCGTCGAATGGAGTTTTAACTATTGTGGATATTCAAGCAAGCGATAATGGAATCTATCATTTTTTCCAACTGGAAAATAACAAATGGATTGTTTCAAAAGCACTGTTGAATTTACACGGAGCACCGTTTGCTACCCTTTGGTTGGAATATTGGCCTAATGTAATGGAGTTTTGTATTTTTTCAACTTTATAGTCTATTTGCGTCTCACTTAATATAGGTCGTCGGTGGTCTTGTAGCTATGTCGGGTAAAAAGTGATATCTAAATCTTTACTATTTTGCAAATATATTGTTTTATAGCTGTACTTATTACGTTCGCTTTGATTCTCTTGGCAAATAAGTATCGGTATCGTCCACATTCATCTTCATCAACGCAGCGTTTATCGAAACGACCTGGTACAGTCGAACCTATCATTATCGAACAAACCAATCCAGGTAGCTACGAAGTGTGTTCTTGTGAGAAATGTTTAAAAAGTTCGCGTTCTATTCGATAGTATTTGCTAACGATGACACGGATACGATTACAAGTCAACATCGTCGAACTAGTCGCCGCTCGTCATCGACTAGCAATGGGACTAATCTTCGCATCGAACGCCTCTAAACGAAATATAACTGACATTTTAATCAGCACATCTATAAATGCTTGTATACTATTTCTTCACAAACTATACTTAGTGATAAGCAACCATAAATATACGTCTTTAGAAGTCTTATGTGAAACTTGATAAGTCGACATCGATCCGTCGTCTTCATTATTCAAAAAGTTTTCTTGAATAAAACAGAAATCTGACATACCGGTATTAGAAACTGCTTGTTATGCCGCCAATAAAAAAAGAACCATCGTCGAAGTACATGGTATAGGACGACAAAAAACAAACAACAACATTCCCCCAGAGAAGCCAGCAAATAGGAGAACAAGCAGTTTTGTTGAGTAGAGTCGTAAGACATGTAAACAAACATTTCATCGCCATGCTGATGAGAGGAATAGAGAAAAGAAGGGATAGATATCAAATGCTAGACCGACTAACACGCGGTTGTTGACATATGAGGTACGCAAGCTGTTCGACGCATCTTGGTGGACTATTGACCTCTTCGATATTCAAAAAATATTCGACGAAGAACATCGGATCTAATTTCACACTTGTCTCGTTCATTGATATTCATAGAGAGAGAAAGTTTCACTGGGAATTCTTTTACTTCAGATGTCGTCCTTCTAGATCTACCTGTTCTACAACTATTTTCAATGCAAAAAGCCATTTCTTTATGCATGGCATAAATCATCTTTATTGTAGTATTACTAAAACAAAAACCAGAATTCATATTGTCCCGAACCATTCCAATATCTACACAATACTGAATTTAAATTTCAACTTTATTCAATGATGGTTCCATTGAAAGAATTTTGGCGTTGAAAACACGATCACATTTGAAGATTTTTAAATCGCATTTGTAATGTTTAGGACAACAATGGATATGATCCGAACAACAGACGCCACTTTCAATTGGACAGCAAGAGTAATCACCGTCGACAGAAATACAACATGTGCTAGTTGATGGACAGACGGACACTCCATCAGGACAGATAATCTCAGAATTCACCGGTGGTTTCTCTTCATGACTATTCGCGTATACCATTATGATCAATGTGAGAACTAGGATAATTACAAACAGCTTCATTATGATGCAAAAGACAAAGCAAGTATCGATAATTTTGTTTTGGACTTTAATTCTTATTAACAAATAAGGCAAGGCTATGAATGATGTGCGAATACAAAAATAGAATCAAATAAGAAAAATTAACAAGTGATATTAGTCTTTATATATTCTCACGCACTCTGTTTTGTCATTCTTTGGAAAGAAGTCAGTCTTCTATACGAAACATATTCAAAACATGAAACACACCTGGTTATATTCACAGCGAAATATGAGAATTTAATCAAAAAGTCACCTATGATACCGGCGAGTTTGCCACGCACTGATAGAGTGATCGCTTATTTAAAATTTGTTGTATTGATGTTCCTACTACTTTGTATCGTTTATCATATTCATTCCTAATAAAACTATATATGCGAATGTCATTGATCATTTAGCATTATTTTGCCGTAGTTTTGCTTAGTTCCTACTTCTTGAATAGAATTTAACGCAATCATACAATGAACTACTAACATGTGATTGTATGTTAGATGTATGAGTATTGCCCGCATACATAAAATTAGTGATATGAAATGATTTTCTCGATTAAAATTTAAACACCATCTCATTTTTTCCAAGTTTGTCAGCTCCGAGATGAAGACGTCGAAGTCTTTTATCATGTTGTAAGACTTCAAAATACTCTGTTGACAAGGAAGAATAGGATGACGATCGTTTCGAAGTAATAATCACAGATGACATGACTCTTCCTCTATTTATCAAAGGACTAAGCAATGAATTCCTCCTGATATTTGCCAATGCACCATTGCAAACTAATTATTTATGTATGAAGTTTTACCATATGGAAAGTAATTCAGATGAAAGTATGCTTTTCTTGTCATTCACATGTCTTTTAACTAGTTAAATAGTTTCTATATGAACATCCGCCTGAAATAGGCACGTTTCCTTGTGAATATTCGAAGCAAAGTTAAAAAGAATGCAGATCTGGAAGAAAATCTCATCAATAAATGTATTAGCTGCATATCCGTTTGTTTTCGCCGATAAGATATGCTTTGAAGAGTTTCATGGTGAAAACTACACAAATGACGATCGTCTTTTCTTCGCCGGATATCATCACTAGAGAAACTGAGGATCTTATTGTATTTGCTTTGATATTTCAATTGACTTCCGTTTTTATACTGATGAATTTGGATGATCGGAAGCAAGTATGGTAGTACTGGTGTTTTCGCTAGACAGGCAGAGTCAATCTCTTTCTTAGACAGCATTGATATAGACAATGAACGAGTTGTGAAAGAGAGAACAATTAACACATCTCTCTTTCTTCTCGTTCTATTCGATATTTAGTTCACTGTAAAACAGCTCTAGCTGTCATCATAGAGTTCTTTCCTTTCCTGTCTCGTTTTCTCTCATATTGTCTCGTACTGTGGTATATACATCTACTTCTTCACACATTCTTCTGTGTTGCATATACTCTGGCAACCATTCAAATGAATATCTTCACGCAATTGGCGACGCAATTTCTCATCAACAAAAACACGTTAGTTCAATTGCTGAAAAACTTACGTTGTTCGAATGAATTCATCAGTGAATTTCGTAACAACCATATCTACATTAATGAAGACATCATTCGACAAAAAATCCGTATGTTATGTATAATTACCGAAGACGAATCTTTTCAAGATTTACTCTGTCATGATAATGGCATTCAATTAGTTTTTCATGCCACGCCACATGAATACCGTTTCATGCGCTTTCGAATTAGTTTCGATATCAAACTCATCACAATTGTCTTAAACAATGAACAGCAAAAGTTACAATTTCTAATCAGTAATATACAAATCAAATCGTTGAATTACCTTTCCAAACCATTTCAATTCTGCATACAGGTAATGATTAAATCCAAGTCACAGGCGCGTTATGTAAATCCATTGTCAATGTTTTAAAGTTATCTAGTTATGTCATATGTTGCGTTTTTTCCGCTAGAGCTAATTTACTCAAAAACGTGTTTTTGTAATTGAAAGAAACAGCTTGATATTGATAAAAGCGCTCATTTTGCAAAAACATCATGGACATCTGCTATTTTTAGGAAATCGACAGCTTTTTTAGAGTACTCATTGAATAAGAATCTGTTGTTAGACTGGATTGTATCATGTTTCTCTAATTGTCATTACATAAAAGAATTCTCCATGAATAGATTATAATTTAATACTAACGACAAGTAGTATTTTGTCCAGGCATCGACAGAAAACAAGCCAGCGTAGGAAGAACATGAAAATCGTGAACATTTACATATTCTAATTATAATACATGTTTATTCATACAGAAAATATTTAACAAACTGCCATCAGCATGATTGAATGTTATTCTTTTGTTTTAGTCGAAAGCTCGTTCATTGGTAATTGATGAGTTCGAACGTATATGCACAGAACAACATATTCCATTCGAAAGATTATTCAAAAACATCAAACGTCCACTAGTTTATCAAATAAGTTTATCAAATTTGAAAGAATTAGACCATTTACGTGAACGTTATCTCCTTATTGGTAATCGATCGATACTTGATTTAATACAAATAACGTGTATTGAACATCGAGAACAAGCAATTGTGTTAGATTACCGACTGAGAACAACAGCTAACGATGAGAAAATGTATTCCTCTGTTCAACAATTACCTCTTGTACAGCGCCCAATCTTATTATAAAATCAATTTCTAATAAAAACAAAGATAAATACATAAATAAAAGAATTTGACGCGGATGTGGTAGGTTCTCTGGTATTCGTACGCTTTCATGCAAAAGATATAAGCATTCCGAGTAGGAAAATTGCTGTTTTCCTCCAGCGTCTTCCGGCTTTTCTCGAGTGGAAAATGTTGAAATTGCCCAGAAAAAAGCCCTGACTTTTTAGTTTGAAATTTTATTTTGATCTCAGTCTTAACTTCGAAGATTCATCTGTCCGTTTTCAGTTATTCCCAGCGACTAAAATCATGATCTCGAGCACATTGCAAGATACTTGATCTACTTTGAGAATGTTGAGGTCATGATAAATCTCTAGACGCTCATCGAAATTCTCCGACAATCGTTTCTCTATCTTATGTAACACCAGCTGCGGTGACTATAGAAAAGACATTTCACGCGATGACAGTAAAGAAGTCCCAAACAGTAGGAAACTTCATGCAAGGTTACTTAGCATAAGATCGCTAGGATTTTCATATAAATGAACGCTCCCTGGATGGAAAAGCCAGTGATGTTTTTTTAATGAGAGAATAAAACAGAGTTCGAATGTAGTCGAATAAACTCACCAGTTTTCTTCTAAAAATCGGTCAAGTATTTTATAGTTACAAAGCATTTAATGCATGAATGCTCGCGACTAAATATAACTCACAACGCACATTGACTCAATCTGCGTAATCTATATTTTCGTATCTGCATTTCTTCTATGACAAACAAGATAGATGTATATTTGTCACATCTTTTCGATACTGTGTATATATATCGTGAATTGATATGTTGTATCAAACAATAAAACATGAAACGAACGAGAACAGTAGCCATCGTCGGTGCAGGTGCTAGCGGTTTAGTGTGTGCCAAGACACTTTTAGATGACGGATTCGATGTAACTCTCTTTGATCAGCAAAAGGAATTAGGCGGTATTTGGTGTGAACAGTCTGCATACGCTAATTTACATAGTCAACAGCCGGGTGGAACTTTTGAGTTCTCTGATCTATTCAGTGGGGAAGGTAGACATTGATAGTATTTTGGTTGAATATACATCTCCTTAAAATTCTAGAATTTGCACCTTGGCAAAATGTTCACAACTATCTACAAAAATATGCCGATCTGTTTCACATTACTGATCGAATTCATTTTCGAACACGTGTTCTCTCAGTATCAAAAGAAGATCTGAAAAATGAAAGCACCCCGTGGATTATTAAGACTGAAAATGAGAATGGCGAAGAACGAACACATGAATTTCACTTAGTTGTTGTTGCTAGTGGTCTCTACTCTCATCCTCATCTGCCAACCTATCCTGGCCAGAATAAGTTTGCTGGTCTAATTGTGCCACCATCTGCTGTTAAGTCGCATGATCAAGTCAGAAACAAACGTGTTGTGATAGTCGGACAGGGAAAATGTGCAACCGATATGGCTGTGATTGCAGGTCATCATGCTCGTTCGTGTCACATGGTGTTTCGTAAAGCGCACTGGATGATTCCTCGTCGCATCGTTCATAATCTACTGCCTGCACGAATGTTGTTTACACGCATCTTTGCGACTCCTTTTGTTCCACTGCCGAATGGTTCATACAGTAAAATCTTTCGTTTACTGCATAAAAATTACCCCAAGCTATTCACAACCATGATTGAGATCATATCGAATGATATCATGTCAATACATGGAACGGACCTGACAGAAGATGGTGTATTTATTCCACAGCATTCATTCCGTAGTCAAGAAAATATCTCTATGATTCCAACTGATTTTCTATCGCTAAAACATAATGGCCGTATTATTGGAAAACTCGATACGATCAAAGAAATTGTTGATGCAACAACGATTCGTCTCAATTCAGGCGAAGATTTACAGGCAGACATGATCATTTTAGCAACTGGCTTTATTCGAAGCTTTCCATTCTTTTCTCCCGAACATGTCGAGATGCTGGGCTTGTCCCACCCAGCTGATAATACCGAACTTAATCTCTATCGCCGTGTACTGCCTGTTGGCATACCAAATATAGCTTTCATTGGTTTTACAGGCTCTGCAGGCAATTTGATGGTAGCTGAAGTTGCTAGCCACTGGATTTCGGAATACTTTCTCAAACGACTTCGACTGCCTCAAACTGCACAGCAGATGCACGAAGAAATTAACTCCAACCGTTTGTTTGTTCGAAGCATCTTTCGTCGAAATGAGTATGACTATCGATACTATTGGCTAGCATCGATGGAAATCTACTTGAATGACATGGGTATAAATTTGTATCGCACAAATAATTGGATAAGTGAATATTTTGGTGTGTATAGTCCACAGCGTTTGAAAGGTTTGCACGAAGAACGAAAGATAATTGCAGAAACAGGCCATGCACCTCGTCGATTTTATTTTAGTATGGAAATGACAGTTATAATTGTACTAGCTTTGTTATTCTTTTGCTTTTATCTGTAAATAGTTGTTGCTCTACTGCTCTTATTATGAACACACGTAACTCAAACAAATAAAAGTATATCGTAGATATACTCATACAAACTATGATCGAATATGTGCATTGTCAAGTTTCACTAATTTGCTCTGCATTTTCTGCAAAATCATCATAATTACTGATATCAAGCGAATGTATATAATCCACAATGACTTAGTATAAAAACACGTATATTTTCTTTCCTTTTAATTACTTTCTAATCTAAATCGATTTAAAAGAGCTTAACGTGTCACTTTCAGTTGTCTATAAAGGTGTGCGATTGTGCAAAATAGTTATCTGTTCGATCTTAGCACGATGATATCTAAACTTTATGTTCTTCTATGCTCCATTGTTGTCTTGCGCGCCGTAGAGTTTCAACCTGATTGGCAATTGGACTATTTATTCCCGTCGATGATCTTTGAACCAGCAATGAAATTATCACCGCCCTACCAAGAACAATTCTATTCGTATTCTTTTGTTGTTCCACCACCAAGTAAACTCTATGGCCCACACACTGCTTTCTATTTATTTGCTGGCCAGCTAGAAAGTAAAACAGCCGGAATCGTTATCAAACAGGATGGTCAGCTTTTTCAAATTTTGACTAGTAAACAGTACTGGCAATCCAATAAAATTCCTATGCCATTGACAACGAATGAGACCACCATTGAATTATATATTCGAGATGGAGATAAAGTTGGTCCAACCTATACGATTCATGTTCAACGAGTAACTGTTTAATTTTATGACGAAATGTTTACCTTCCTTCTGAATAAAAGCATAAATAAATAAGAAAACAGTAACCGAATCATGTAGTAAACTTACTTTCATCATCTGACATCACTATACCGACATTTAAAAAGAGTAGGACAGAAAGAAAAGAAGCCATCATGTCTGAATAAATATTTTTTGCTATGTCATTGTGAAAGTGCAGAAAATCATCTTCCTATATAACCATGCGTCGCCGTGCTCATTATAATTCTCACTTAAAATGCAACATTCACATGCGGGATTTCTCGATTATGTTTTGAAACATAGCCAAGCGGGAAATATTCAAAGTGTGATCAATACTATTGATCGATACGGATGGACAAAGGGATGGCTGATGAATATTGGCGATCAGAAAGGTCAAATTCTTGACGAAGCAATTCGTTCACGAAAGCCGAAAACAGTTCTCGAACTCGGTAATCGATCTGTGTTCTCCCGGAGAATTTCTTTTACCAGTCAGTCGTTGTCATTTAGGTAGTTTTCTTGGTTACAGTTCACTAAGAATGGCTGCTCAGTTGCCGAACGATGCTGTGATTATTTGCGTAGATATGAATCCAGAAACAACAGAAATCGCTCGTGCTATTCACAAACACGCGGGCGTTGATGATCGAATTCGATTCATCGTCGACTCTACCGAACGTGTGATTCCTCAATTAACCGAAAAACTTCATATAAACTCATTCGATTTTATTTTTATTGATCATTATGGAACACATTATCTACGCGATTTTAAACTATTGGAAGAATATGGTTTAATCCGATCGGGAACAATGATCGTAGCGGATAATGTTATTGCACCAGGTGCGCCTGGCTATCTACAATATATTCGAAATAATCCAAATTATAGAACGAAAACTCATGAATCATTTGTTGAGTATACGAACGATATGGTGGATGGGGTTGAAGTAACAGTACGAAATTAATTATTTGATATATGTCACATATTTGTTTCATTTTGTTTTTAATAAGCAAATTAAAAATAAATGCTTTGGAAAGTGGACTCATCATTGAGATGAATAAGAAAGCTCTTACTATTCGGATGTCACAGATACGCCCAATATTAAATTTGTCAAGCTTGGAAAACGTTCTCATTGACGTTGGCAAAATTGAAGTTTCGTTTTCTATTTGAAAATGTGTTCTGCTTACGCATCATTTCTCAATTATGTTCTTCAAAGAAGCCGGTCAGATAATGTTCAAAATACAATCAATACAACTGATTGATATGGATGAACACGAGAATGGTTGATGAAATATTGGTAATCGAAAGGGTCGAACTCTTACTGATTTACTTGTAGTTTGTATCCTGTTATCTATGGTTGTTTCAATATATATTTCTTGTCTGTAGCTCGTTGAGAATCGAATGAAAGTCATCGTTGATTCAACAAATTCTATCATTTGTTCACTAGATCTCATTTTTATCGATCCTAATAGTTTTGATTACTCTCCTGATTTTATATTATCAGAACTATATGGTTTGATCCAATCTACTACATTGATTGCATCTGACAATATTCTACCGCTGGGTGAGGGTGATTAGCAAAATACCTTCGAAGTAATCCAAACTACTTCACAAGAACATACGAATCACCGCTCGAGAGTTCGAACGATGCAATCGACGGCAGTGAAATAACTATATTGCGTTCATTTCACTTACGTTTTGAAAGCATGATAGCTATTTTGATTATTATTCACATAGGAAATTCGTTTGACGTTTATTTTCTAAAAAAGATCTTCAAAACAATAAGCTTTTTTCTTGTATCATGAAAAGTCATCATTGTCACACTTGAATGCTCTTTTCGGTTTATAAAACAAGCGAAGAATGTTTTAACTATGTGTGTATATCGATATGGGTATGTCACGCGACGACATTACTATCATTCAATGCATAGTGTCATATTAGTCCTTTTCCTCTCAACCTTGTTCAATAGTTGTTAGCAAGTACAAAAAACCTCAGCGAATAATTTTCTTTTCTCGTTTTTCTTTCGCTTATCGTTTCATTATAACGGGAAGTATGTCACAAGAACCAGTAAACACGGCGACTGATCAATTGCCCAGCCTACCTGAAACAACTGTCATCGAACCGGTTGTTCAATGCGGTGTTTTATACATTGGCACAGCTGTACCGAGCCCTGGTCGTCGTGGCATTGATTCCATTCAAGAACCGTTAGCACATCGATATCCAGTTGATGGTACAAATACAGCTCGCGGTAATCCTATTCGATTGAAATGAGATGTATGACCATGTGGTTTTTCCTTCAGGTATTGATTCTATTCTTTCGGTTTATGAGAATGGCATTCAATTGACCTTTGCTCGCCAGCCTTATACAGTGATTTTCTTTCCAATCTCGTCATTAATCTATTGTGCAAGTCTTCGCTTTTCTGTCATTGAAGACGATCAAACCTCTTCGATCGATTGGCGTTTTGTAACGTTAGATTCAACAATGAATATTCCAAGCAAACATCCACCACTATTTTGTCTTGTTGTTCATCGTACACAAATTTTCACAGGTGATGAATGCCATTGTTTTATCACCAAAAACGCTGATGCTGCCTTAGCACTTGTCCGTGCAATATCGGACGTTTATGCTAACCTTCCACCCTTATCGAAGCTTCTCAGATCGCCTATTTTCTATCAAGTATGACTTGTTTTCGATGATTCGAGTACATCTATCGTTGAATTTCATTTTCAATAGTTAGATCGTTATGGACGAAAAATAAGTGAAACAACTGGAGTTATTTATCTTTCGCCTGCTAACGAAGACGAATCTCAAATAAACCAGTTGAATGAGCGAAATACTCTCTTAGATCCATCGTTGAACGGTTTCTTCTACCGTACGGATGGAAATCTTCTCGAACAATGGCAACTATGGGACGATGACGATGTAGCAGGAACTCGACCACGGCCTCCGCCTTCTCCATTCGGTCAAAATCAAGGTCTGTATCATGACGATCTCACACAAGAAATTCATAAGTATCTGCGTCACATGGATGACGAAGATCGCTCAAGTTCATGTAGTTGTTCAAGTTCATCAAGTTCATCGGATATACGTAATCGACATCATCATCGTCGCCGATTGAAATCGAAATATGACCATGCAGATCAATTGAATCCTGAATTAGTTCGGTCACAATCAAGCTCTTTCGACCCAACACTACCGAATAACATCGATATCAAACCAGTTATTGTTCAACAAACACCAATCATCATCGAAAAAGTTGTGCCCAATTCATTTGTAGGTTTTCAGCAAAAACAGCCCACCTACACTTTTCCACAGCCAATTCTCCAACCACCGCCACTTCAAGAATGCACTCCTAGTTATGCTACATATTCTGAAACGTATCAAATCAATGAACATGGTGAAAGGATAACTACAGATGGAAATCGTATTCTTTTCATGGATGTTATTCAACCAAATGCACAACAGAAGAGTATTGACACAACATCTTATATATCTCAGCCAGTTCATCGGGCACATTCACAACGGCGACGATCGAAACCTGTTCCAGTTGTCGATCTTCAATCGATTGAAAAGTTATTTAACGAAAGGAAATCGAAACAGCGGCGAGCCAGTTTTCGCCATGATCAAGAAGACTCTGATACCAATCAGCTAACAACATCTGATATGCTAGACATTGTCGAGGGTTATTTTGAAGATTATCGGGGAAGAAGATTGAAAATGAACGGACACGACGCTCAAGCTATGATCCGTCATTTAGAATCATCATCAGCCTCGAAGAAACAAAATCGACAAGAATCAGATAGCTCCAGTAAACAGATGTATCATGAGTATGGTCATCGTCGACGACGACGGCACCATCATTCAACGATCAAGTCAGGCCCATCGATCAATTATGTCGAACGTTCACAGATGAAATTACCATCACAGCAAAGTTTGCCTGCACGAAGATCTTTAAATAATGAACAAGTCGATGAATACGTTTCCAGTATATATGGTTCATCCGAGAAAGCTGCTTCGTCAATCAAATCTTCCACCAGTCATCAACATACTCAGGCAAACGCCCCGGAACCAACGATGCAGAACCAAGAATTCATATCACCACTCCGATACATGCAAAGTAGTATTAATCCTTTATTATTACACGAATATCGTCAAGCATATGGTGGAATTTAAGAAATAAAAACAATAACAACAATATATCCCAAACCGAATAAAAAGTATCTTCTTTTTTTTCGAAAATCTCAATCAATAAAATTCTTTAGTTGGAGTCAAATAGAAAGAAATATCTCGGGAACAATCATTCATTGGAATGATGTAAATATCATTCGCTGATAACGAGGAAGTATTTTGCGACATTGCATTCGATCTAGCTTGATTCCATCGTGTTTGATCATTATCTTGTGTTGATATTCGATGACGAAATGCCCGATTACGTGCCCATTGTCTGATTTGTGATGGATCAGGTTGATCAATATACCGACGAAATAAGCGTTGCTTCGTCGAAATGACTGATGAAAGAATACTTGAGCTACGCGAACGTTCCTGAGGCGACTGTTTTTTTTTATTATCAGTCACTATTTGCTCGGAATCAGTTCTTTCAATTTGTTTACTTTTGACATGTTGTACAACAAGGCCAAGAAGAAGAAAGAGTATAATTCCTGTGATTAACGCAATGAACAATTGAATTGAACTTTGTTTGAACGATCGATGGAGAAGTTCGCCAATACGAATCGCTATGCAAGCATTCCGCGGTGAATATATATATGTCGTATTATTCGATTGGAAATCCAGGCAGATTTCATACTGGCCAGAATTTAAATTCAGTATACGTAAACTATTGTTCTGGTCGACTAATTCAGTAAAGTTTGTTAATAAATGGATGTGATTAGTGGATAAACTAATTTCATCGACTGTTCGTAGTATAAAACGATAAAAGTGAAAGAAATTGAAGAGAGTTGGATCAATTTTAAACCAAATGAGAATCGAACGATCGCGGTTATTGTTTATATGACATACGAGTAGATGATCATTTGTTTGACTTTCAAAATGATTTTGTACACATATTTCTTCGTTGTCCTTCGTGCGTTGCGTGTGAATGATCAAGCATGTTGCTGAAAAGAACATAGAATTGAGAATCAATAGAGATATGAAACTATCGAACATGATCACCATCGATGTTCTGATCATTGGATGATATTTGCCATGAGAGCGAAAAATTGAACAAAGAATGAAGAAAAGATCTATGTTATGTCATATGAAATCTGGACCTTTTTATCCTTGTAATGAATATGTCATGAAATAACAAAGAAATCTCTGTTCAAATCACGTATGAACAGATTACGTACAAACAAGAGTTATTTAAATCCGAGAATTGGCGCGAAGAACACGTAAGAATATGTTCATATTTACCATACAAAATAGCAAACTGATATCAATCGAATAATCTTACAAACGATTCAATTTAATCGATTGTCTACTTGGAACTTCACTACACGATTTGATTATGATAATAAGACAATGGCAGAATAATCACAAATGAGCGACAAAAACAGTTCTGATCTTGTTGCTGTTTGCGAAACGATTCATTTGACATTTGGCTCAAAGTCATACTGTTGCGTTTTACATACTCGCATAGAAGCCGTCAATCCGAAACTTTTCTCTTTTATTGTGCGCCTTCTTAAGTGAATTAAAAGCAATTGTGCACTGTGCTGTCTTCTTTTGACACATTTTCATCATGTAAAGTGACATTTCTTCTGCAATTTTCTACATTGACGGGCTGCAGAGATAAACAAGTACAAACCTTTTCGATTGTCTTGCCTCATTCATCTCCAAAGAATTTTATTCTCAATTATGAGAATAGAAAAATCTCTTTACGAACAATGAAAACCGAAAGAGAGAATGGGGAGAAGGAGGAAGTGTCTAATAATTCTTCTCTCTTTCTTCGGTCATTCCATCTCATTTTCAACAATACTGATGATAAATAATAGCAGTCGAAAGCTAACTTTCACGCATTGCTTTTATTCATTCCTTTTTTTTCACTGTCGGATGTTTTTAGTTTGTTCTCTTCATATCAAGAAGAAAAAGATTATCTATGTAATACTCATTTCTTTTGCTTTCGCATCTGCCTACATTCGAAGTCGTTCAACAAGGCGATGAGAAGAAAAGCTTTCTAGATTGATTTTTCTCGCGTCGACATTTACATACATATATATATAAGTGTAATCGAGATCGATGAAATTAGTCTTCATATCTTTCTCTCATAGAATTCGATCATCTTGACAATCGTTCGTTCCTCGTTTGTAGATATCCATTTTATGTCGGTAATCTTCGCATCAAACAAAATGTCGGTAACTACGATCCAAATTAGCTTTCTTCTATTGGCTATGCTAGGTATGTTTCAAAATACAGTTGAAGTTTTTTGCAAATTATTTACTAAAAATTACGCGAAAGGAAAACGGTTATGCTCAGTGTCGAACAATAGTTTAAAAAAATCATTCTTGAGAGCGAGAGAGGTCATTATACTTGATATTTGAATGGTTGAAGAAGAGAAGAAAAAGTACTTTCTGTTTACGATAAAAAACAATTGAGATTATTCTGAAAAAGAATTTCTAGATGTTCTCCTATTCTTATTTGATTAAATAAATGCTGTTGGCTAAATATTCTAGAGACATTGTGTTATATTAGTATAAGTGATCAACATGGGAGACATTTGATAAAGCTAATCGCGCGCACTTGACTAGAATCTATATGGACTTCTTCGTCTGGCCTTGCTTATCCTTCTGTACGTGTTTTAGTGGTCCGTAATTTGGCAGCACCATCAATTGAAGAAGTACACGAAATTTATCTTGGAACGTGTGAAATAAGCTGTGGTGTCGTGAGCAATAGTGCCGAAGGACAAGAATGTCGTGACAAATTCTGTCCGAATTATGTTAGTTATCTAGTAACAGGTATCGTTGATCAAGATGTAAAGCCTAGTCTTGCATCCAGTCATCACAAAGAAGTCTCGAATTTCTGTGCCACATGGCTTGTTCATTTGATCGAGCAATTTGGTTGGAATTATCGTTTTCGACTGAATATGAAAGAGTGTACCTGTGCTGCTGGTAAAGATTGTCTTGTTAAATAAAGCTTAGCAAAGAAAAGCGTGCACAATCCAGCAAAAAGACATCCACGATATTTCACTTCCGAAAAAATACTCTCTCTTTTCTTCATATCGTTTATCTTCATCTATATTTTGTCCTCTTGCGAATTTCAATTTCTTTTTATTTAAATAAATGAAAGAAATATCTTCTAGTCGTATCGCGACATCTGGATGAATAACGTTCTTTCTGTTCTTGTGCCTCTAAAGTACCAATAAACGATTGATTCGTTGTTATGGTGATTCACCATTATCTTTGCACTACACATTGAATCATTAAATTCATTTCATTCGGTTGAAGTAACAAAGATGAAAATTGAAGAAGTCAAAAGTACAACTAAATCTCAACGAATATCAGCACATAGTCATGTCAAAGGACTGGGCCTGGACGCTGAACAACGAGCAATTCGAAATGCCGGTGGTCTCGTTGGACAAGAACAAGCACGAGAAGTACGCTGATCTATTGTTTGCTGTGAAATCTTCAACGGTTTTTCCTTGTAGGCAGCAGGTATTGTAGTGGAATTGATCCGCCGAAAGAAAATGGCGGGCAGAGCTGTCTTACTTGCTGGCCCACCTGGAACAGGAAAAAGTATATTCAATCTTCGTTCTAAAAAGCTTAATTCTGAAATTATTGTCTTTCAGCTGCTCTTGCCTTAGCTATTGCTCATGAACTTGGCTCACGTGTACCATTTTGTCCTATGGTTGGTAGTGAAGTATACTCAACAGAGATTAAAAAGACCGAAGTGCTAATGGAAAACTTTCGCCGTGCTATTGGCTTACGCATAAAAGAAGTCAAAGAAGTTTATGAAGGTGAAGTAACTGAAATGACACCAACAGAAACAGAGAGTAGCTATGGCGGTAAGATATTTATCAGAATTAATCTATTTGTTTCGACGTATTCGATAATATGTTCTAGGTTATGGTAAAACCATCAGTCATGTTGTTATTGGTTTACGAACAGTTAAAGGTACAAAGCAATTGAAACTCGATCCATCGATCTATGAAACATTGCAAAAGGAAAAGGTTGAAGTTGGCGATGTTATCTACATCGAAGCCAATTCGGGCGGTGTCAAAGTATGGTCTGAAAGCTAATAAAAGCCCTCCACATCACTTTGTTTTAACTAGCGACAAGGTCGTTGTGATACTTATGCAACTGAGTATGACCTGGAAACTGAAGAATATGTTCCGTTACCAAAAGGTGATGTACACAAGAAGAAAGAAGTTGTTCAAGATGTTACTTTGCATGATTTGGACGTTGCCAATGCTCGACCACAAGCAGGATCAGATATTTTGTCAATTATGGGCTCATTGATCAAACAAAAAAAGACTGAGATTACTGGTAAAGTACATGTTGCTCTCGATTTTTTCCACTACAACATTGAAAAACCTTTTAGATAAACTTCGTCGAGAAATCAACAAAGTTGTGAATAAATACATCGATCAAGGTATTGCTGAACTTGTTCCAGGTGTTTTATTTATCGACGAGGTACACATGTTGGACATTGAATGTTTTACTTACCTCCATCGAGCATTGGAAAGTCCACTAGCACCCATTGTCATCTTTGCCACTAATCGAGGACGATGTTTAATACGGTATGTAAACTTATCCTTCCGAGAGAAAATTCAACTACAAATCGCTTGATGTTCTTCTAGTGGAACAGAAATTCTCTCTCCACATGGTATGCCGCTCGATTTGCTCGACCGCATCATGATTATTCGAACGCTCCCGTATGGAATGGAAGATATGATTGAAGTAAACTATAATTGCATCTATGTTTTCACTTTGATGCCAAATATATTTTTTCCTGCAAATAGATTCTTCGGATACGTGCAAAAGTCGAGCACATCGATATAGCCGATGACTCCTTACAAGCACTTGCTGAAATTGGAAATGTCTCAACTTTACGGTGAGAGAAGGTCTTTTCGTCTCATCGATTCTCTCATATAATTCATTTTTAGATATGCCGTTCAACTGATGACACCAGCGAATATCCTTGCTCGCATCAATGGCAAAGAACAAATCGAAAAAGAAGAAATCGACGAAGTCCGAGACTTGTTTCTCGATGCCAAATCATCTGCACATTTACTTAAACAAGAAGATGCGAAATATATGAAATAAATATCTTAGATAAATGTTTTTTTTATAGAAAAGAATTCTGTGAAACTATCGAAAGCAAATATTTGGAAAGAAGTATTGCTATTGTTGATGAAAGAAAAGACATTAATGATGAGAATAATCGTGAAGCTAAAAATAAAAATAGATTTGCGTACAATAATAATGATCGAATCAATTTACCATTCAGCGCCTGAGTATGACAAAGAATAGTAAATATAAAACTCATTAGTAAACCGTAGTAATCACGGTGATCGGGACTCCATATTAACAAGGGTAAGATGAATAGCTGACCAATGCTTGAAAGAATCAATGCACGAAAGAGAAGCATGGATCTGAAAAATACATTTCTCAAAACCGAAAAAGGAACAACGATCATCTTACCTGTCTCTTGTCCAATTCTGTCTCCACTGCGCAAATGCGATGAGAAATATCAATCCAAATCGAATGGTGTATTCTAGACGGGGAGGATTGTGAAAACAAGGATTCAATAGGATGATTTACCGAGAAATGATTCGAATAAATTCGAATAGAATCCGTATTCTAGAGCATAGAAAATATGATGGTCTTGATTGATAATCGATTGATATTGATCGTTTTTCAGGTGAAACCATTTAATGTACGCATTAGCAAGAATCAATGCACATGAAAGTTTGATAATGTGCTAAAAAGTCTCGAATAAAAGCGTCGACTTTCGAAAAAGTTCATACGTTATATTTGATTTTGTCAATATTGAATAGAACATGTCGATGTGCTCGTAATTTTAGTAAAACAAAGTCAATGAAGACAAGGAGATCATCTAATTCAATGTAGGGATCAACTGGATTTTGGCATTCTTTCTAAAATTGACAACGAAATCAAGCTTTTCATTCGAAATATTCGTCGTTTTACGCAATGAATGATTTTGATGACACCTTCTTTATAATGATGCGATAATTCATCAGCTTCGGCACCACAAGTTACACAACAGTATTTGCAATTCATGATTTGATCGATTGTTGTATGCAATTTTCATTTCATAGATAAGGAGAAGAATGAAATCCAACGAATGCGCTATACTTCAGACAGATGCCGCTCGCGACAACCGAATGCCTTTGGCAACGAGTTAATGTCTCGAACAAATGTGTACACGGTGCAGAATTGAAATTCGTGACAATGCATCCTCCCACTAGAGGTTAAAGTAAATCAAGCTCGAACGTATGGTTACGAAATCATGCCATCGACGGAATGAAAGAAAGAATGTTTGAGTAACATTTTATGAAGCAAAAACAAACATGAACACATGTATAGTAGTTAATTTCCTTGGATCAATATTTGTACAATTTATCAGAACTTTTCATGTCATCTGTTTTTGTTATTTTCAAAACTGCTCGAAATAATGACGCACAAGCACGTCGGCATGTTGTCAGACAGACATCCTAATGGGACGAAAGGAACGCACTATGGGGGGAATCGAGTATTCTCTATTCTTTCCCATTCGGAGCACTGTTGTCAATGTTTTTCTTTCCATTAGATAAATATCAATTCATCATTCACTCATTACATCGTATCATCGCACTTTCGATCATCTTTGATACATCTAATTAATTTTCTGACAAATATTGACTATCGCTTTGAGATGTACAGATCAAATTTAAATTTTCGTTCCTTCGAATCGATCTTGTTTGAATCGGATCAATTACGATAAGAAAAACAAGTGTTCTGTGTACTGAAAACATTACCATATGACCCTGGCTGTCGAATATTCAAGAACATGCATGAAAAACAAGCTTTTTAGTGACAAAATAGAAGTTTAGCAGATGAGTAATAGATATCAGTTAAAAACAAGCTGTTACATAGATAGCCTAAGGAATCATTTGGTTCTTTTGATTTCGAAGCTCGTTCTGAACAGATGTTTTTATTATTAAAAGACTTGTATGAATACCTTGATTCAATGACAACTGAAGTTATGTCGTACTTTCTTTTTCTTTCTCGTTCTTTCCTTCTTTCTTCGAGTTTTTTCTTTTCCTTCGTCGTTGTCACATTAAAGTAAAACAATGTTCAAAAGTAATGACGCGTTGTCTGTTAGTTTGTCGTCGAGTATGTGGGATGAGAAACAGAAACGGTAGCCAATCACTTCACATTTGTCATGACAACGTAAAAAAATAAGCTTCAATGTTCGTCGTGAACAAGAGTAAGCCAGAAGGAAAAGAAGGCGAAGAGAAAAAAGAGAGAAGAGAGAAAAAAACGTATATATGATTTTCAGTTGTCGCCATTTTATGACTCTAGCCACAGTCTCTCTCTCTCTCTCTCTCTCTCTCTCTCGTTCTGTATTTTTGTCGGTTGTATCAAGTCAAAGAGAGTTGTATAATATCAGAAAGAGGAAGAAAAAACGAAGAATAGTGGTAAGAATAACTCATCGTTTGTTTTCTGATTCATATTTATCTTTTGATTTATCTATGAGTAACGCTTGTCGTCCTATCTAAATATAGTTAATTTTATCTTTAAATCCAGTGTGAAACATTCGGATCGGTGACATACTTACGAAGTTTGAAAGAAAAAAAAGTAGATATAAATGTTAACATACACGGCTAAAATCCTTTGACTTTATTTTTTTCTCGTGTAAAGGGTATTCTATCCGAAGAAGAAGAAGATATGGTTTATTGAGCTGTTTTAAAAGGAAAGAAAGAAAAGAAAAAGTACACCGATGCCAGAGCGCGTTATATGCTCTTGATTTTTTTTCACTAAAAAAACAGAACGTCGTAATAATAAAAGAAATCATCGAACTTTACATCTCACAATACAACGATCGAGAGTTTTAAAAGCGAATTCTTTTTCTTCTTTCTTCTCGAACAAATCCCTTCGGATTACTTCAACCCATACCGTCAGTGCGTTACTACATAAACAACGCCCGTCGTCAAACATCTGAGATACTCATTGAAACTTTTTTCAATGCTATAGTAATCGTCTTTTCTTTTTTCTCTCCATTCGAACAATTTTGCCGTCGAACATGACGCATCGTTCTATTGTAGTAACAATTATGGGTGGGTAGGACTACTACGGTTATGTACACTATGTGAATCATAGTTACTCTATAAATATGAATGAAGTTTAAAGCACTGTTTTAGAATATTTTTTGTTAGTTTTGAAGATATAATCATCGTCATGGGTGCTCGTCTTTCTCGATCCGATTTTCATTGGGTCTATACTGATGAACCACATACCACACGTCGAAGAGAAATGTTACGTATGTATTCGAATGAGATTTTGTCGACCTACTTATATCGTCTTGTTGCTTTTTCTACAGAAAAATATCCCGAGATCAAACATCTGATGGGCCACGACTGGCGCATTGCAGCTCAAGTCGTTCTCACCGTTGTTATTCAAATAGTGATAGCCATTTTAGTTCAAGATGTTTCATGGAAATATGTTTGGTTCTTGACATATGTTATCAGTGGCACACTCAATCATTCACTCTCTATCAGTTTTCATGAAAGTATGTAGAAAACACCGTCGAATGATGATAAATCTCATTTTAAATTTGTTGTTTAGTCGGTCATAACTTAGCTTTTGGTAACCATAAACCATTAGCGAATCGAATACTTGGTTTCGTTGCTAATTTACCACTCTGTATACCGTCATCTGTAACATTCAAAAAATACCACATCGATCATCATAAGTAAGTCCTCGGCAGGCAGCTTCCTTTCGATCTTTGCATCGACTGAGATCTCACTTTAGATTTCAAGGTGATGACATGCTCGATCCTGATCTGCCAACTTATTTTGAAGCATGGTTGTTTCAATCGCGTGTTGGTAAATTCTTCTATATTTTGGCACAACCATTACTTTATGCCATACGGCCATTATTACGTGTACCGAAACCTGTGACATTACTGGAAGTGGTTAATCTGTTAATTGAATTGATTTTCGATGCAATTATCTTCTATTTTCTCGGACTGAAATCATTTGTTTATTTATTATTCGGTACATTATTAGGCTTAGGTCTCCATCCGATCTCGGGCCATTTTATATCTGGTAGGTTCACCGAATCTCCTTCATTTTGTTCTTTCACTCATGAATTGCTTTTTTCTTTAGAACATTACATTTTTGTCGAAGGCTATGAAACATATTCCTACTATGGCCCATTGAATTACTTAACATTCAATGTAGGATATCATAATGAACGTAAGAAAATTTTCGTCTATCTGTCTTTCTATATTAACCTATTCGTCATTGAATAGATCACGATTTTCCAAACATTCCCGGTTATGCTTTGCCTCAGGTAAGATTTGCTTTCTTTTCAAGTTTTTCAATTACCCTTATGTTTGTATTGTTTCTAGTTGAAAAAGATCGCACCGGATTATTATGATAACCTTCCTTGCCATTATTCGTGGACAAAAGTCTTGTATGATTTCATTCGTAATCCTGCATTAGGTCCACAATCACGTATTCGACGAACAATTCGCTCTGAGGCATTGAAGACGAAGAATGCTATTGACATGAAGAACAAATCGAAAGTGAATGAAATTCTTCATGAAGTCGTTGATAACAACAACAATTCACATCCACATATGTCGAAAGAAGAACGCAAGTTACTCAATATGAAGAAACATTCCAGTCGATTGCCAACAGCAGTCAAGTCTACTGACCAACATACAAAGAATGAATAACGAGTCCAGAACGTGTGTATTTCAATATTTCTCTTTTTTCTTTTCTGTTGTATTTTCAATCGAAGACTTTTTTACCTCATGACACTTGTCGATGTTTTTCATTGGTAATGACGAAATTTCAGAGAGCATGTTCAAACAAAGTTTAGTACGATGTGAATAACAAGAGACACCCAAGCCGATCTTAGTACGCTTAGAGTTTGATTTCTAATCCAACTCTTTCGGATCTACATGCGAACGAAATTTATTTTTTTACATTAACATGCAAAAATATATCTTCCTAGATTATTAGCATGTATTAGTATTCAAAAGTATTACTAATCTCTTCTCCGCCGTCCTTGTATAGTTATGAGTCATACTCTGAAATATCTGAAGAAAAACTTTCGACTGTGTCTATTTGCTATTGAGTGAGGCGAGAGATAATCAAATAAAACGAGTTCTCTTACATCCTTGATGTTTTGTGTCACTTTGTCGTCTCGTCATGGCTTCCGTCCGCATAGGCAGGCTTACTTTTCCGTTTTCTTGCTTCTCTGGAACTGTCTGCCACTCTTTCTCTCTCTCTCGTTGTTATTTTACCAATAAACCATTGTGCATAAATGTTCACCTTCAGTATACGATTGTTTGTAATTGAATTTATTTTGATCGACTCCATCTTGTTCATTAGGGAAAGATAATAAGGGTATAGCGGAAGACTTAGGCATATAGCATAGAAAACACACTGACATACAATACTGTTTTGTAAAAGAAAAGAAGACTTTCATAATGATGAACAGAACAAAATCTGACACGAAAATGAAAAAAACAAAAATTAATCACCGTAACTCATAACAGCAAAACAGACAATCTAAAGCTTAAATTTTGAAAATTATTATACCTCTCAGAGTGATTAATTTCATATCGAATGAACGAAGAAAAAAAAGCAACGAATTATTCTTGATGAGCTTCTTTAACAACATTTTTCATTTGTTTTTCATACTCTTGTTGACTGACTACAGATACACGGCCAATTTTTGTCTCTCGAACTACGCGTGCCCACGGGCCGACATTGTCATTCATAACAAAATCGTAGAGCACTTTCGTCCAACTAAAAAACATTTTTCAACTTGAGATAGGAGAATTCAATCAGACAGGAACCCTTTACCTTGAATAATGCGGTAAATTTTCGTAATATTCTGGCGCAATTTTTCTCAGTTTCGGCAAATTTCGACCGGGTATATACGGAAAATCGTGATCTAGAAATAAGTCATGAGACCTTCGTCACACACTAGAATGTCTCTCGCTTACGTTCGTTATGATATCCGACATTGTATGTAATGGAATTCAACGGTCCGTAATACGAATAGGTTTCGTATCCTTCTTTGAACACATAGTGTTCCGCGATGAAGTGTCCCGAAATAGGATGAAGTGAAAGTCCCAGCGCCGTACTCAGAAAGAAGTATGACAGTGTTTTTCCGCCGAATAGATACCACATTGTGACATCGAACGCTAATACAATAATTAAATTGACGATTTCCAAAAGATGTATCGGTTTTGGCAAGATAAACATCGGTCGAAATGAATATAAAAGTGGCATTATCAGCAGGAAAACAAATTTTCCTGGACGAGTTGAAAACAGGAAGACTTCGAGACGTGTCGGAACATCGGTATCGTATACTTCATCACCTTGGAATCTAGAAGCACAGAAAATAGATCTCACAGTGAAAATTTCATTTTTATCAGTTGATTAACCTATGATGGTCAAGATGATATTTCTTGAAAGTTATTGAGGCTGGTACGCCCAGTGGCAGATTAGCAAGAAAACCTAATAGACGATTAGCCATAGGCCGAGAATGACCAAATGCTAGGTTATGAGTTAGTTCATGCAGGGCTAATGATAATGTATGGTTTATTGTACCACCAATGACATATGCGATGAATATTAATTGCAACCAAGAAGAATTGCGTACAAATATGGAGACAATAATCTGGATAAGGACAGTTAGAACTACTTGAACTGCCATGCGCCAATCATGACCCATGAGTTGTTTAATTTCAGGATATTTTTCTAGATTAGATGTTAGTTAGTTTTTCATCATGCATACTTAGGAGGATGAGAAGAAGGTGCAAACAACATACTTAACATTTCTTTTCGTCGAGTGGCATGAGGCTCATCGGTATATGAATGGTAAAAATCGTGAGTTGTTATATATTGTCCCATACTCGTTTATGATGTCTAAAACTGAAGAAGTGTTAAAGTCCATCATCTTTTGCGTCTTCTTATATAGGAGACAGAAAGAAAACAGATGATAATGATGGTACCACCTTCGTATTCATCAATAATATACGAGCAGAAAGAGTCGAATGTTCGAGACAGTAAATTTGTATAACTAATAACAATGTGCAAATATTTTCTCTCTACATAATGATCAAATTGATCTAGTGCCCGATTTCATTTACTGATAACATAATTAAACATGGTAGAGACGTCTATCTGGATCTTCTCCGAAAGGGCAATTCAGACATTTTTTGATTGGGCAATATTTTCTGGCCAATTATCAATTACACATGCATGGCCCGTTCCATGGATTTTTGGGATGAATTCGTCTGTTGAAAGTGAAGTGTTTATATTGAATATTTATCACTCTAACATCGCTCATTGGTTAAATTAATTTGTAAATGTACACGAAACATAATTTCAATAAATTGAGCGAAGCTAGCTCGCATTGTCGTTCGATGGCATGTAATATAAAAGCAAGTACTCGAGAAGTCATGAAGTATACAGTCCACTATAAAAATTGTACTCAAGTTTTCAATACGTATCACAATCAGCAGGCCTGGAACAAGTTCATGGTTGAAAAAAAACAGTTTAACGAATGTCAGGCATGACAGAAAGCGTGACTTAATGTATGTCAAATTGAATGAAATAGGGACGACGGAGAAAGCACAACATATGATTTCAACGATGGGCAGAACTCACCTGATGCTATTGATTTTACGCAGTGAACTCGACTAGAAATTTTTGATGCAAAGCAGAGACACAACATTGTTAGCTTTTTGATGAAACTGAATATCCAGCATTTTTTGAGAATCTAATGAAATCGGTGCTATCAATCTGTATCCAACATTATGTGATGTAAAAGGATGCTATACTATTCTTTCGATAAAAGAGCAGGAAGTTCTGTCAAAATCCAGTCTTAACACAGATCTATATCACACACACGAATTCACATGAGCAAACCATAACTCTATCCATGAGTCGATGCGTACTGTTACGCCATCTGTCAGCAATTTGTGAAAAAGTCACGGATAAGTTTCTGAATGGTTACTACTATCGGATGAATATTAATATAAGTAACGCCGAAGTGCTGTAGTGCACTACAATAAATAAATTCTATAGATTAAGCATGTCAGCGGCAACTCTTGCTGAAGAAGAAAACAATCAAAATGGTGTGGAACGCTCAGAAGATGATGATGATGAAATAGATGAAAATAACAAAACAGATGATCCATCAGCTGCTAAAACTAAAAAGAAACGAAAGAAGAAGAAGAAAAACAAAGGTAGAAATCCTTCAACACTCTACTGTATGTTGTATCATAAAGAGTTATTTTAGCTCCAACCGCAACGACGGATGAACAAGCAGATCCTGTTGCTAATGGCACCGAAGCTATAGCTGCAGTTTCTCTTCAACCGGATGGTATAAGTATACCGATATAGTTAAGCAAAAAAACTAAATATTTACCGTTTAGACGATCAAGAAGAAGCTGAAGAGGCCGGTGGCGACGAGACGAAAGCTACGGGGAAAAAGAAAAACAAAAAGAAGAAAAAACGTATGTATCACAAATATAACAACAACTCTTTCGAGTGTTTAAATACTAAAACATAGATAATATAATTTCTCTCTTTTTTTCCAAGCTGCTGGTACAACTAACGGTGCAACCACAATAGCAACAAATGGCAAAGCACCTTTGCAACAAACTAATCCGCCATCAATTCCTATCTCTGAACTATTTCCTGATGGCAACTTTCCTGAAGGACAAATCCTTGAACATCCAACACCAAAAGTTCCACCAACTGATGGGTAAAATCAATGATAATCTACATTAAATCGAACGTGTCACCATTTGTCTATCTCTCGTGTAGATCTCTTGCTGTCAATCGCATGACCAGCGAAGAAAAACGAATGCTTGACTTGGCACAATCTGAAATCTATCGCGAACTTCGACAGGCAGCTGAATGTCATAGACAAACTAGAAAATGGGTCATGAGTTGGATTGAACCTGGCATGAAAATGATCGACATCTGGTATGATTACTTTCAAACATTCTGTTGCTTGTAATCATCCTTATTTTCATGTGACAGCGAACGACTTGAAGATTGCAACAGAAGATTGATTAAAGAAAAGGGTTTGGAAGCTGGTTTGGCATTCCCGACAGGTAAGATATTCCTATCTCTTCTTGTTCGATCTTCGACATGCGATGAATTACAGGATGTTCGTTGAACAATTGTGCGGCGCACTACACACCAAACAACGGTGATAACACTGTTCTTCAACGTGATGACGTTTGTAAAATAGATTTTGGTACGCATATCAATGGTCGAATCATTGATTGTGCATGGACAGTTTCGTTCAATCCAAAGTACGATGAACTACTGAAAGCTGTTCGTGAAGCAACCAACGCAGGAATACAGGTGACAATGATGAGGTAGAGAAATGAAACGATGTTCTTGTATGTGTGTTTAGGCTGCTGGTATCGATGTTCGACTATGCGATATTGGAGAAGCGATTCAAGAGGTGATGGAAAGTCACGAGCTCGATCTAGATGGAAAACTCTATCCAAGTAAGTCGAAAGATTAGAATTAGCCGCTATGCAGTACAGAGAACTGGAAAGAATTCATATATCTTATTTACTGTTTAGTTAAGGCAATTCGTAATCTCCAAGGTCATCTCATTGGTCAGTACCATATCCATGCTGGTAAATCAGTGCCTATTGTCAAAGGTGGCGAAGGAACTCGTATGGAAGTGAGTACATATCCAGTAGTCTGATTGATTTTAATGAAACAGTATTTAGGAAGGTGAAATTTATGCAATTGAGACATTCGGTAGTACTGGTAAAGGTGTCGTTCACGATGATATGGAAGTGTCTCACTACATGAAAAATTTCGATGCTGAACAGGCACTTGTTCGGTATGCGTTTAAAGAAAAAAGATCTAAGAGCTTTAATTTTCAACATCTTTTTCATAGAAATGCCAAGGCTAAACAGTTGTACAACACTATCAGCAAGAATTTCGGGACACTGGCGTTTTGTCGTCGATGGTTAGATCGTTTGGGTGAAAGCAAATACCTACTTTCTCTCAAAAGTCTCATTGAAGCTGACGTCGTCAATCCATATCCACCGCTATGCGATGTGAAAGGATGTTATACAGCACAATTTGAACATACAATTATCCTACGACCAACGTGTAAAGAAGTTGTCAGTCGAGGCGATGACTACTAGTCACGTTCATCTTTGTTCTGTTTTTTTTTGTCTTTGAACGTTTATTTAACCGTGCGATTACAAAAAAGAAAGAAGGAAAAATTTTTGCTCTTCGTTTCGTTGTTCCTTGGAAAACATAAACCAGACGTTTTTTAGATGGTTGTGTATAATCTTTATATTTTTAATCGAAATGGACAATGTTTATTCTATCGAGAATGGCTACGACGAAAACAGACCAACATGAGCAAAGAAGAAGTGAGTGATTTCAAAATAGCATTGTTTTATGCGTTGTTTTGATTTTAGGAGTTTAAACTGATGAATGGTTTTCTCTTTTCAGTCAAATCATTTGTACAACGTCTATCACCAGTAGATTTGTAAGTTTCTTTCGGCTTCTGCTGAGATTTATGCTTTGTACTTTCGTAGAAAAGATGGTTTTCTGAGTTTCAAAACCAACTGCTATAAACTACATTACTACGAAACAGCAACTGGTCATAAATTCGTGTTAAACACAGATAACAATGTTGGCAACATTCGCGATATTCTACACCAATTGTATAGTACAGTAAGTAGACGAAAGAATCGAATGCAATCCATTCACTGCTTTCAATTTAGATATTTGTCAATTATATTGTAAAGAATCCTCGTGCTTCAGCCGTCGACGTTATCGATTCCGATCAAGAAATCTTCATTGAAAAACTAGACGAATTCATTAGTAATTTATCGATTTTTTCCCAAACAAACAAAGCGTGATTGTTCTTTCTTCTGTTTCTTATTTCACATTGATCAATAAATCGAAAAGCAATATTCATCTTTTTCAGATGTCACATAGTTCCGTTCGCGAAGCCTCACATGCTGGAAGTTGGTACGAAGCTGATGGCAGACATCTCGATCAACAACTATCAACATGGCTGGCTGAAGCAGCAAATAGTTCCAATACGAAATTAAAAGCGCGAGCAATCATTGCTCCTCATGCTGGCTATACTTATAGTGGACCAACAGCTGCATTTGCATATAAAAACATCGATCCAACTGATGTCGATCGCGTGTTTCTCCTTGGTCCATCACATCATTACAGTTTAGATCATTGTGCGTTGAGCAATCACGCACAATATGAAACGCCATTGTACAATATTCAAATCGATACGAAAATAACCAATGATTTGCATAGAGCAGGTCTTTTCTCAGTTATGAATCAACAACAAGATTCCGATGAACATTCGCTAGAAATGCATTTACCATATATTGCTAAAGTGTTCGAAAAGTAGGATTCGAATGAAGAGACGTTTACTTGCGAGCATGAAATCAATTCAATTACTTTCAGAAAACGCAAGGATTTTCAATTAATTCCCATTCTTGTTGGTTCTCTCGATTCGTCGAAACTGGAAAAGTATGGACAACTGTTAGCACCATACCTCTGTGATCCGAAAAATCTATTCGTTATCTCATCTGACTTTTGCCATTGGGGTATGTAGGAATAAACCTCATACAGAAAATATGTACATGTCAATGTATATGGTGTTTAGGTCGGCGATTTTCCTATCAACCTCATAATCCTGCAGACGGTGAAATCTGGCAGCACATCGAAAAATTAGATCATCAAGGTATGGAACTAATTGAAAAGATGAACTTGGCAGATTTCCATAAATATCTTCGGGCTACTGACAATACGATTTGTGGTCGTTATCCAATTAGTCTTTTACTTGCGGTAAGTCTCAATTTGTTATATGATAAATCTGAAGACGAAATCGTCTTTCGATTTTAGACAATGGAGCAAGCGAAAAGGGTCGTTTCCGCCAATCAAGTACCGAAATTTCACATGCAATTCGTCAAATATGCTCAATCGAGTCGGGTGAAAAAGTCGAACGATTCAAGTGTTAGTTATGCATCTGCTGTTTTAACTGTTGCCAGTTAGAAATACTAACGAGAACAACAATTCAAAGACATTTTTGTTGAATATTTCTTCACTTCATCTTTAAAAAAAAGATTTTTACATTTTGTCATTATCTCTCACTCTGCATATATAAATATTTCATTGAAAAGAAACACAAATTCTCTGCGATACTAGCTTGATGATGTTACTAATGAGACAAACAAAGCGGCAGTCGTTTTATCTAACAATACAGGATGTCAACATGGATAGGATTAGTCCACACTACTGAGTTATCATTCAGAAGCGATAAAATCCTCGTCATTGTAGGTCAATGCACATATCACAATCCTACTCTGGAATACAAATTGAATCGGTAAGTTTTTCCTTCTCCTTACGATCGCTTGAGTTTTCATATCGTTGGTAAGAAACATGAAATCGAATCACCTTATTTCTTCTCATTAAAATTTCATTCCATTAGTTAAACAAAAGAAAACTATATGCATATAGAATTTTTTGTTGTCCTTTGCTCTATCATAGAAATAATTTTCATGGACAAGAAAAAAAAAAGAAGAAACAAATCAAACGAATTATAATGAAATAAAAAATAGAATAAAGTAAAATGAAACAGAAAACGCATGACAACGAAAGACAACTCTCTCTCTCTCTCTCTGCCTATACACATACATATTCACATAAGACAACGACGAGATTGTTATTTAGTGTGATGACTTCCACCATTCATATGTATTCTCATATGACGATTAAGATTTCCTGATTGAGAAAAGCGAAGACGACACAGTGAACATTCG